AAATGGGGATGCGACTTACAATCGAGTGCGACTTACAATCGGAGAAATACGGTACATGAAACTCAGAGCATGCAGCTTGCGACCTGTTGTGCATGGGTGTCTGTGGCTCCAATGAAAAATTTCCGAAATTTAGAGCCCAAATCAGTGCCTTTTCTTGATTCACGGGGTACCCGAGGCAAAGTGTGGCACGGTCAATACCGTAGGCACTATAGGCCGGTTCGTACTTCATTTCGGAAAATCACCGGGCGACCGTCGCGGGATGGGCCAAACAAGTTGAACTCAAGTCAACGTTTTCTCGCGATGCGACGCGTTTCCGGTACGCGAAATAAAGTATGGATCGGGCGTATAGCATGTCCGACACCGCTTGACGGTTCACACAGGTGGCAGGTACTGTACACCAGTGGTGGCAAGCTGAAATCCGACCCCTGATTTTTATTGCTCGAGTTCAGCACCGATTCTAGCTATCTCTGTTTTGGCAGCGAGCCGATCCCGTGCTACGTCTTTGCAATGCCAGCATACCGCCGTTCCAGGGGTCGGATTTCAGTTACCATCTCGTTGGCGGTCCCATTCCGCCTGCCCTGACCATCAGTCATCAAGGATCTCTAGAGGTGCACACCCTGGAACACATCGTACACCAATGAGAACGCTCCTTACAGTACTGCCGGGCGCTGAAGAACGACCAGGCTGGAATGTCACCAAGCACAGCATACCAATGTATACACGGTGACTCAACGGTGCATAGACAGTAATACATGAAAATAAGAACGGTCTAGGATAGGAGGCTGACCCCCCCTGTTCTTCGGCGACCGACAGTACTGTAAGGGCCATTGCAAAAGTCGTTTTTTGTCGTCCCTGAAACGAACATCATTCATTTCGGGGGGGGGGGGAGTTAAAATCTCACGTTGAGGGGACACTATGCACATAAGTGTACCTGCATACGATTTTCATCATCCAGCATAGCCAGCCGCGTTCAATTCGGAGGAAGGGTCCGAGTACAAAACAAACAATGTTCGTTTTAGAGATGACTAAAAACTTCTATGACGCCCCCTTACATACATACCTGTGTTGATACAGCCAGGAAAACACTGGGAACATTGGGATGGCAGGATAGCTGTTTCAGGTAGAATGGCACCTTGGGCTGAAGCGCCAGCGTCTTGAAGTCGTCCTTGGTCGTCCACATCAGCGAATTCAGGGTGTCAAGAATCACGCCCTGTACGCCACACACACACACACACACACACACACACACACACACACACACGCACACACACACAAATAAATAAAGAAACACACAAACGCACACACACACACACGCTTGTACTTGTACTTGCTCACTGCCAAAACTGGTCACGTGGGTCTCCCCGGGAGAGGGGAGAGAGACTCAAAAGGAATCTTGGAAAGATGACTCAATTGGCCATTGAACCACCCAACGGCCGACACCGCCTGAAATCCCCAAACTAGGGTGGACTTGAAATGATCCCACTTATGGGCTCACCACACCTCAGTAAGTGGGTGAGGACAAGGTGCAGAAAAAGGATTGACGGCATCAGGGTATCCGTCCCGGGATCCAACTGCAGGTACCCCTGCCCCCAGTGAAGGTAATACTTGGTACTAGTGTGGGTGAGAGTGGATCTGATATAAGCTTCACTAGCACCATTGATTACACAAGAGTTAATCTAGCCAGAAGCAGTCCACGCACACGCACACACACACACACACACCTCAGACATGCCCATCGCGGGAGCGATGATAGCGAACAGCTATGTTTTAGACATAGCAACTTGTGCTGGGATTACACCATTCAACAGCTTGCAAGGCTGATGAATTGACCGCCACTATTTTTAGCCTGGTATCCACCACACAGCTGTTTGAAGTGACTTTTTCTGGCCAGTGAATCCCTATTTTTCATTTTTCCATTTTTTCTTTTTTTCTTTTTTTCTTTTTCTACACACACACCACACCACATACTACGGCATACACTGGCTGTTGGTAACCACCCAGGAGAATGAAAGAAAAGTCAGGAAGAGTCTGAGAAAGAGAAGAAAGACGTGTGTGACCATAATCGTCGGGAATCGAACCCGCAACCTATCGATTGGAAATCGCTGCACATACCACTGCACCATATGGGACACACACACACACACACACACACACACAAACAGTACCGTATTTCCCCGTAAGTTAGTAGGTACTAACTTTCGAACTTAGCAGCCACATGAGTACTAACTTTCGGGGGTGGTACTATCTTTCGGGGAGTACTTTTTTATCGGGGGTAAATGACACGCAGTGGGAAGCCTGCGCAACTCTATAGTCTGTTTCAAAAAGATTAGCAATCAGGTTTTGGTCTTAAAAAGTATGAAGATAAGGGAAAATTGGACAACGAAGTACATAAAAGGGCTGGTTAGGGCACGGCAAATTGTTCTGTGAAGGTTTCGGAACAATTGGACCAGCCGTCAAGGAGTTAGAATTTCGGACAGGTTTCCGGCCTTTTCCCATGGTTTACAATTTGCCCTGGAAGCCAGTATCGATTTTTCTATCAAAACCCACGATTTATCTTTTCCTTTCTGGCCTTGTGGTTATGGATGCTGTCTGCTGACCATGAAGTTGTGAGTTCAAATCCCAACCTATCTTCAACTCACACTTTTTTTCATTGTTTTTTGGTGATCAAGCAAGCAGACTTGTTGTTGTTCACGGTTGTATTGTTGTTGTTGGAGCTCCCGCTTCCTCCCGAACTGACTGACACTTGACTGGCTCACGCCATGTGAACACACCCACAACACTGAAACGGTGTGAGTGAATACGGAAGTCATTGCGCTGTAGCTACGTGTTGAATACACCGGCACATCGATCGATCGATTTCTTTTTGAGAATTATTTTAGCATTTCAAGATCGCCAATTTATTTGAATTTAGTAGTCAACGCCGTCTTCTATCAGCTTCCACAGGCATCTGCTTTTCTCAAAATGTTGTCGAAGTCATACGGATAGCTTCGCCAAGTCATGGCCTTGGGAATGAGTCTGTGTCGATGTTGTTTTCGTCACATGGTGAGAGTAAATTGCATCGCAGCTCAAAGAAACTATTTGGTCACAAAACATATTGGGACCCATGCCGCTCGTCAGCCTCGGCATTTACTACACTTTCGACATGTCCTCTCTGACTCCATAATCGATACGAGGAAGAACTCGTTTGTTGTGAACCAGACGTACACGACTACACCGACATCGACCTGAGTGAGTTGTCATTTTTCATGCTTTCGCGCGGAATATTTCTTCGAGTTCACAGTGAGTTTTTCCAGGCAGCGCTCGGGCGCTCATACGGTAAGACGGCAAACTCCCCGGGCGATCACCAGGATTGCTAATCTTTTTGAAACTGACTGTAGTGTCCGTGCATATGATGTATGTACTGTACGGTGTCTGTACATGTAGGACGCGTACGAACTTACTATCTTTCGGGGGAACTGTCTTTCGGGGTGATAACCTCGGCAGTGGAAAGTGTATTTTTTATAGGGGGGTACTAAGTCATTGGGGAGAACTTACTTACGGAGAAATACGGTATTCCGCATTTCCTGGTTTTCCAAGCCGAAACGCAGAGTGGAAGACTTGCAAGGTCATTCTACAATATCTACAGCACCTTGAGTATACAAACAAATCGAATTCTCTATCTAAAAGCTCCTGGGACTAACCCACTACCTTTACCTGGATGTGTGTATAGAATACCGTACAGTACCGTTGATCCGCCCCCTCCCTAATTCCCGCCCCCTGTCGAATTTTTGCCTGTGAAGCGACGTCGACGTATACAACGAAATACGATGTTGAACTGACGCATGCACTGCTGTACACAATATACGCGCGTGTGCAGGATGAGAATGTGCACAATCCAGCACTCCAGGTCTGATCTTCTGCTTTGTTGTACATCGTACTGCACTTGAACGACTTGATCTAATGCCCGCCCACGGCCGAAAAAACGAGCTGGGAAACGACATGGCGTGAGGGGGGGGGGGGGGAGGGAGGGGGGGGGGGGTCAAAGGTACTTCACGGTAAGTGCTCAGTTGATCTTGTTATTGTTAGAATAGAGAGGTTCTACTGTAAGTGAAGCGTGGTGAAATCACGTGGAGAGCAGGTGTCTGGGTTAGAGTCTACGGCTTTGCGTGTTTCGGGGCCAGATTTCCACGCGTAGATGAGGTTCTGTACGTTGTGGCACGCGCAAAGGAAATCCGTACGGATCTGCCGGGCGTTATTCAAATGCAGTCAGAAAACTGCCAAATATCGAAGGGGACATTCCCAGTACACATTCCACGTGATTTCTCTCCGTGAACGCCAAGCAGAACAGGATTTCTTTACGTTACGGGAACGCGAAGGGAGTTCCCGGGATTCTTCACGTTGCCTTCCCGCAACGCAGAGCAGAAGATCCCAAATTAAATTGTTGTCCCTACACGTAGCCCATGTAGGTTATCTTTTCCTGAACTAAGACTTAAGCCAGCACTTGCAATACATTTCTTTACAAAAGGAATTCGACTCCAAAAAGAGCCACATCGAAATAGTGCATGAACGACGCGGTGCTTACCCAGCCAGCGGACTCGGGGCACAGGAGGACGAGGGTGGCCTTGGCAACGATGCCCGTCGGCGTGTCCAGCTCGATGCGCGGGAACGTCTTGCCGTAGTCGCGGGATACGTAGAGATGCGACGACGCCCTGGACCGTAGCCAGGCGGAGTTGCGACTGTAGGTCAGCGCCACAATCACCTGCATGCATAGCGCGACAGCAACAACAAGGTTAAAGTACATTAAGCCACACATTCGGTGCAAGCGCGCATTGAGTGCATCCAGACAACACACTCTCGCTCTAGGTTGATCAGAAACCATAGGTTAACTTGATACTACAGGCATACTAAAATCAGTTACTCCCAACTGCCACAATCACCTGCATGCATAACACAACAGCAAGGTTACAATTCAGTGAAGCCTAGTTTAAGCGACCACCCCACGGTGCAAGCAAAAGCGGTCGTTAAAGCCAGGTGGTCGTTAGAACCAGGTCCCACAGTGTCTGTGTAGAACTGTCCGTGCATGGTAAAACGACTGCTACGGGCAGGTGTTCGCTAAACACAGAGGTCGCTTACACCAGGTTTTACCGTAGTAGAAAAAATAGGTCAAAATGCAGCAGGATAGTGCAGGGAAGGGTTATTAGTAGGACTGCTCATACAGAGCAGGTGTCTTGTCACTAGTCACTGCAACAACGGCCAGGATATATCTAGCAAGGAGATACTCCATCTGCGAACAGAACTGAGTCGTCCTGTGTGATCTTGTCAGCGCAGCACAGAGAAAATGAGGCCAAACTTGAAAGAAATTTCCAAAGATCCTTTTTTTTAATTTATAAAGGAGAGAGAGAGAGTGTGTGTGAGAGAGAGAGAGAGAGAGAGAGAGAGAGAGAGAGAGAGAGAGAGAGAGAGAGAGAGAGAGAAAGAGAGAGAGAGAGAGAGAGAGAGGAAGGGAGGGGGGAGGGAGGGAGGGAGGGAGGGAGAGAATGATCATTATAATTACTACTTCCTCCGCGTCATCGAAATTGTCGCAGTTTGACTAGTCACTTGTCACTTGTTACTGACAACTCCATAAGCTGCTCTTGTAGCAGTTGAGCACTCTTGCGTGGGGTAGTGCCTTTGCTGTTTGCGTTATGCAGAGCTCACTGACTTGTCAGTTTGAGCACTCTGGCAAGGTACGTTCGGGCCTGATTGGAAATTTTTATTTCCATTGCTATCAGGTCCGGCCTCATTTCCTCTGTGCTGCGCTGACGGGTCCACAAAGGACGAAACAGTTCTGTCCGCAGATTGAGTATTTCGCTCCTGCTCTTGTAGCAGTTGAGCACTCCTGCGTGGGGTAGTGCCTTTGCTGTTTGCGTTATGCAGAGCTCACTGACTTGTCAGTTTGAGCACTCTGGCAAGGTACGTTCGGGCCTGATTGGAAATTTTATTTCCATTGCTATCAGGTTCGGCCTCATTTCCTCTGTGCTGCGCTGACGAGTCCACAAAGGACGAAACAGTTCTGTCCGCAGATTGAGTAAGCTAAGCCATTCAAAACTTATTACACAGTATGATAGTCTGAAGACTAGAGTAACGTTCCAGGACAGTTGGACTGAGAGTTTTCATGCAGAGATGAAGTCCTCGTCGTCGCTGATGTCAATGGACGCAAAAATATCGTTCCGAAATATGTCAAGGAAGGTTGAAAGTTGGTCGCGCCTCATCTCAAACGCTTTGACTTTCTCCACAGGACAAGAGCTGCTATGCTTGTCGTCTGCTAGCTCTGGATGATTCCTACTACACCGCCAGCGAAGCCTAGTAAGAATACACGATCGTTGCGAGGTCGGTTGATTACCATCGGCGGAATCACCTCGATCTTGAAATGAACTTTTTTTAGCCATGGCATGCCCATTTATTTTTGCTGTGTGGTCACAGCTCATGCAAGTAAGTGTACTATCACATCCAGCGCACCCTCTTTTTCAGCATCACTGGTATACCATGGTACGGCACCTGCGTGTGCATCACTAGCACCACGGGTAGAGTCTACATAGCTCTTGCAGGTACAATCATGTACTGAGTGTCTCAGCCAGAGCGACAAATTTTATCGCTGTTGCATGCATTTAGTTTGCTGGCCCCTCGATGTTTCTCCAAGCGCTGCTACTTGTTCCACGAAGTCATTCTCACCCCAGCTAAGGTAAAACAGTGATGAAGCTTGATTGAATGGCCATAAGCACGAGAAATGTGCAGGCTGCAACGCCTGACTGATCTCAGCGAGTCGAAATTACAATCGCAGCGACATCAGCGAAGAAATTGCGTCTAGTTCAAAAATTTCAGCTTCCAATAACAGAAAATAGAACTTTGCTGTCACCCTATACTAATGACCATCGCCTATGTCTGATTCCTTGCCTCTGGTACGAGTGCTGGTGAGTAAATACCCCGTTTTATATCAAAAGTCAAACTGCGACAATTTCGATGACGCGGAGGAAGTACATTTTTTGCAAATGTTGGTGGAAATTGTGACATCATATGCCAAATCCCTTGCCCTTTCCCGTTGAAACATATGCGAATCAGAATTGCGGATATTTCAAAGCTACGGGCACTGCCCGTTCCGGACCGCCCGAGAAAATAGAGATCTGATCGTATGCACACACAAGCGCATGTACACAAGAGCGCGCACATACACGCACATACACGCACACACACACACACACACACACACACACACACACACACACACACACACACACACACACACACACACACACACACACACACATGTATGGTGTGTGTTGTACTTACATCCGAGTGTGACCCGTTGCCAGAGACGCCAGACCACGTGACAGCCATGGTTGGGTTATGGTCATTCAACACAATCTGCATACACCACACAGGTACAGACATGTGCATACACACACGCACACACACACACTCACACACGCACACACCAACACACACACACACACACACACACACACACACACACACCAACACACACCAACACACACCAACACACACCAACACACACACACACACACACACCAACACACACACACACACACACACACACACACACACACACACACACACACATGCACACACCAACACACACACGCACAGTTGTGAATGATCAACAGAATCTCGACCCTTGTTGGAAGACAACACAGTGAACCAGAGTGGCAGTCGTGATACCGTTCTCGCAGTTCCACTGCCCAAAATTACATGGGGACTGCATGAAATCAAAACTACCCAAGGTGATGCGGCTTGCTTTGGCACCATGCTAGTGCTAACGGGTCTATAATAGACATAGCCAGATTTTGCTGGCAGTTCTGCGAGCAAAATATCGAAGAATTTTGACAAGGGAATTTGCCGGCAAAACGGAGCAAAATATCGATAAGTTTGCTGGAAATTGGGAGATTTCAAAGTTATAGGGTTCACGTGACTCATTTTCTCACATTTTCGCAAACACATGACTCACTTTTCTCATTTTTGCCAACATGTGACTCTCTTTCTTTCAGATTTCCCACGCGTGACACAAATTTAGTTTGGGAGTAAAAAGTGAGCAAAATATCGAGTGGCCTGGCAAGATGAAAGCAAAATATCGACGATGAGCCAGCAAAATGTTGCGGCAAAATATCGAAGTTTCACTGTCAAAATCGGACTTCGCCTAGTCTATAAACAAAAGAACCATGCCATATTCGGTAGAGACGAATTTGGCAGCAGGCCATCGGAAAACTGCCATATTTGGAGGGGAAATCACAGTACACCATCCGTATAATTTCGCGGAGTGAAAGTAGAGCAGAATTTTGCTGCGACACTTCAACCTGGGGTGCGGGAATGCAAATATTCAACTCGTGCTGTGTTCGTATCGCGAAGATTTACTAACACCTCAAAAACATCATGATGTGTGTAAGTTTTTTTCTCGAAATTTAGGCAATTATGCAACGTGGGAATTCTCGATATTCTGAGTTTTTCTCTCATATTGTTATTTGTTCACAGCTGCTATGCCACTTTCGTACTATTGGTCTTTGTGAGATCTGACAGGATCAGTTGTCACAGTACATGTACATGTATTATTCCAAAGGGGCATGTTACACATACACGTGTTCAGAGCGGTGTTCATCCCTTTTAGGCTGCCATCCGCTGGATCATTAAAAAAAAGATGTTATTCCCGTAGCTATGCAAAAGACGTTATTTCAGTAACGTCTGGCGCTAGCCAGGGTCTACACAGCTTTAATTTTGTGTGTGTTTGTGCCGTCAGCATGCCTGGCGCTATCCCGTACCTGTCCCGTACCGTACCATCAAAGACAGCTGGCCTGGAATGCAAAGAGAAAGTTTATTTATTTTGCTCAGGGCCCTACGCTATGCTTTTTTGCCTAGCTCATTTGTTATTCGAACAGATGGAAACTTTTTGCAATACAATGATGTACCTGATCAGTTCCTTGCGGTATGGTTGGGCATTGTAGCCATAATTTTTTCTGGTTTTAGAGTTCGTATCGGAGCAGCCGTTCTGCAATTCAAAGCGAGCCATCATGGTCGATGTATAACACTATTTACATACACAAGCTCGGGGAGCAAAAGTCTCTGTCCCATAAGCTGCCACATATCAACTAAATATAAAACCATGCACTTCACACGAGCTGACTTGCACGCGTGACACTTTTCACGAACCCAGACAAAGGGATTGGTCTATTATAACTAAGAGTACATAACCCCCCTGTTACATAGCAGACTCAGCGGAGGACGTTCAGGTTGGTTGTAACTCTGAGTTTCATGCCGCTAGGCAATCATCAGACAACTGATACTCGGGTCTACCCAACAGTATGCTTATAAACACATAGAGCCACAAGCATAAACAATTTTTTTTTAACCCCCCTGTTATAACGCATGTACGAAGTCACTAGATTACACCCGCACCAGAGATGAAGGCGAGAGCTGGTGCCGAAGAACGGCAAACGGAAAAGATGCCTGGCGCTATCCCGTACCGTACCATCAAAGACAGCTGGCCACAATATTCAAATAGGGCTTTCAAATGCAAGATCATAACGTGAAGCAACTTGGAAGAATGAGTATGTATGCGAAGTGTACGAAGTGATTTGGCATTTTTTAACATTTGGCATTTTTTAACAAATGTGTAAAATTTGCATTTCTTCTGCCTGTTTCTCTGCTCCGGATGGCTGTATCGAAACATGGGTGGTGGCAAGTGAGAGCCAGTTTATCGTAGATCAACATTGACCAGAAAATGTGGTGCATATAATTTAATTCTCCCTGCCACGTCGGTATAACTAGTGGTGGGTGCTTTGCCATTTTGTGTAAATGTGTAAAATGAGCCCCTGAATGGACGAGGAGGGCAGTGAATTGCTTCCGCAGGGCCTTTGGACGACGTCAGGCCATCTTGCCATCACTAAAGACAGTAATGAACAACAGTAGGTCACGGAATACACTCTGTGAGAACGAAAACATGGCTGCGATGCTATCCTACCGATCCAATTCCACCGTATAACACAGCCACTAGTTACAAATACAAAAACACGGCTTTCGCAGCATACAATGCAGTTCACTCCTCTGTTGACAGATTAATTTTCATCCACTAGCAATCCTTGAAGTGATATCTATCAACTTCAGAACATTGATGACCGAATATCCCAGTTTGTGATGCCATTTTACAAATTTGTTAAAAAATGACACACCAATTATTTGAATCCTGTGAATACTATGAAAGTAGGACATGATTCAAGACACTTTCCAAAGTGGGATCATTCCCATTTTTTGACACAACGGGCATGAAGGATAGCTCTTCCACTTGCAACAATTCATTTGGACGTAGCTTGTCTAGAAGTGACTGAGAAAACGTCATTTTACAACCATGTTAAAAAAGCCAAATCACCTCGTATGGGGGGAATGCATGCAGGGCGATAGTGCGGGTACGAATCCTAGGTTTAATATGTCTTGAAAAAATAGGAGCAATGAAAAATGTATAACATCCCTATGCTCTTTTTTGCCTAGGTCATCAAGGTGGTAGACGTGTCGTAATACCCTCGAATGCAAAGAGAAAGTTTATTTCTTTCGCTCAGGGCCCTACGCTATGCTTTTTTTGCCTAGCTCATCATGCATGTTATTCGAACAGATGGAAACTTTTTGCAATACAATGATGTAGCCGATCAGTTCCTTGTGGTACGGTTGGGCAATGCAGCAGTCATGGTCGACGTAAAACACTATAGCCAATCAATGGAAAAAACATTTCCATCGGTTCTAATAACATGCATGATGAGCTAGGCAAAAAAGCATAGCGTAGGGCCCTGAGTTTCCAAGCTCTCTTGTTTACTGTTTGTATTCATGGCATGCATACACGATCACACTTCTTGGCACAAGTCAGGGTTCTAGCCAAAGGGGGTAGGGGCGCACACCCTCTTGTCCTACTGAGACACAGCCCTGCCGACTAGGCTACCGGGGATCAAACACACCCCTGCCTCCTTCTTGCCACAGTATTCTTGCCACCGTAGGCTATTCCACATACACAGCCAAGGTTGGCGCTTGACTTTAAATGCCACATATCATAGTTATCCTTCGTGACTTTTCTTCCAACGTTTCTGTTTTAGGCCACACGTTTTAATTTCTATGTTTCTCGTCACCCGCGCGCATACGATTCAGGAGTCTGGAAGAAAAAAAGAAGAAAAAAACTGTGCTGCACTGACTGTGCATGTGGGGACCAGCACACTCATGCACATGTACCTAATGTGGCCTGGCCTGCGCGACACATGATGCGAGGTCGGCATTTTTGTGCGCAATCTAGCTGCACATGCACAGATTGTGATAGAAGCTCCTACCACATGTGCTACTTGCTAACTATGGACGCTATTTTGCATGGTGCATTGGTGGATTTTAGTGTGAACAAAGGTCTACAGTCCATTTCAAAACTATAGACGCGTACCTAGGCAAAAACCGTTATGCCAGCATCTATACCACATAAAATCTGTGATCACTTTGTGCATAAATTTTTCCAAATTGGGCGTCTGTTATCCAATCCTTTAGAAACTATATGAGAGTAATTGTGGAGCGATCCTGAGCAATATTCCGAAAACTATTCTCAAAAGGTTCCAGCCAAATTTGAAATATTTCGAAAACCCTACGCGTCTATAGTTTTGAAATGCACTGTAGTAAACTTTTTTTAGTTTTTGGTCATTTTTTCCACCTCTCGCATACGGTTTTAGATTTTCAGGTGACGAGAAACATAGAAATAAAAACGTGTGGCCTTATCTTACATGTACATGTAGTTGATTCAGTTCTTTCAGAAAACACACCGATTGTCTGGGGGGTTTCTATTGGTTTTAGCATTTTTATAAGGAAAGAAAAGAACTTTCTCTATTATATTTTAGCTTTGTTCCACCATCATGTTTTCATGTGTGAAGCACGTCCAAATCTGACTACATCTATGATCTTCAATTCACACAGGCAACCACAACTACCCGAAAACAGATAGCAACATTCGGCGATGACAGAAACACACCCAAGGTGACAGAAAACACACTCAAGGTGACAAAAAAAAACAGTTCTTACTTCGTGAGGAATCGCTTTCCCGGGGATCGCCCCTCGCTTTGAACGCACTTTCTCCACGTTCTGCTGCAAGTCCTCAAGCTTTTCCGGCGTTTCGACGATCAGCGCTGTGGGCCGCTGGTGTGACTCATGGGCCTGGTCCTTGCGAATATGAGTGAACAAGTTTCTGCGCGTCTTCGCCTCGTCCAAAGTCTCCGCCAGAGGCGACACATAATCCTCGGCGAAGCAGCACGGGGCTGCTAGGAAGATGAAAGCCAAAAGGCCCCTCCCAGCCACTCCCGAAAGAGCCATTTCTAAGAATTGTGCAACTCCAAAGAACCTTGGCCCAAGCAGAGAAACTCTTCTTCCTTCTTTTAGTTGTATTCAGAAATGAGAAATACCCTTCTCATTGTGATTCAAGCCCACAAAATGATTTTCTATGTGCAGTGGTCACTATAGTACTAGCACTGCTCTCGAAAACTCTGCGGTGAACAGTGGCATGATAGCGTTTACCGTACCCCACGTGGCGTGGTGCGTACGCTGTACAGATGACATCAAGAGACCATAACCCCCATATTAGGGGGTTAATGACCCCCATATTAGGGGGTTATCAGTGGTTAGGCTGGTTATGGACTCTCGATGACATGGTACCAAGAGTACATCACCTTTATGTACTCTTGATGGTACGGATCGCTGAACGGAAATCCGGCTGCACTTTTCAACAAGACAAAAAGTCAAAAACCATGCATGCACCAGGGAGCTATTGGCATACGTTCTCCCACTGGTGCAGGCAACATTGCTCTGAAATACCCATTTCCATGATAGTATCTCTGAAAAGTAGTGGTGAAACGAATGTCAAAACCTACTAGTCGAATATTCTTCAGCTTAACGAACGAATGAACGAATATTCTTTAGGTGACACAGATGACATCACATGCCCTCCTCTCAGTCATTTGATGGATATTGTCAATACTAATTTATTATTAGGTATGACAAACGGTAGTGCCATGTAAAATGTACTGCCACATAAGGGTACTTCGAAGTTCACTGTTATGTGCAACATTGACAGTCCAGTATGGACATACATGTGCATGCAGTGCAGTACAAAGTCACAGGCAGGCTGTACCTACTGCACTGTACCGTGTTCGGCGTGCATGTATGTACATGCACTGCATTCGAAGTGTCGTAACGAATACCCGAATGTGACGTAACGAATATTCGAATGTGACAAACCGAACGAATGTTCGAATATTCGAATATTCGTTTCACCACTACTGAAAAGTGAAACCTGGTCTTCAATTATGACATTCTCCACTTTGACATTCCAAAAAATTCAACCACGAAAACACAAGGTTATGCTACAGCCTACTATACTGTCCACTGACGTTATAACACCACCATGCAGTTACTAAACAATCAGCTCATGTGATAACATGCGTAACTTGTAGTTCCTTGGTCCTTTTCTTTTTCTAATGTATCCTTGGCTCTCCATCCGAGTCCACCGTATTTTCCGGAGTATTAACGCGCACCCAGATTTTTGTCACGAAATACACAGTGACACACACGCACACCTTTGACCTTTTGACGCCATCGCCGGAGGCGATGATAGCAATGCTACGGCAGAAGCCATAGCAACTTGTGCTGGGATTGCACCATTTAAGGAGGCTCCAACCTTCTGCGCTGCGCAGCCGGTCTGGCGCTCTGTTTTTTGCAGGCAAAAGTCTTGTTTTTGCCGATAAGTGCGAAAAGTTGGGAAATTCCCATCTCAACTAACTAAAATTTGAACTCCGCGATCGAGAGTCATATCAGAGAATATTGTTTCATTCTTCACCTGTAGTCTTCCCTGGGCCCCATCGAGGTTCCTGTTGTTTTCTCTTCCGTTGTGTCAGTGGATATCAGGGCATGTTTTCAAAAGCATCGCTGGTGTGAGCAAGAAGTTGACTTCACAGCTCGATTTCTCGAGATCCTGAATAATTTTGCTTGACGAAAAAATGACCAAGGAGAACGGAGCCAAGCGTCTCGATGGCTGTGTAACACCAGGGACCAAAACCTACTGTAGCGGCGCGTTTTGGAGAGAGAGACTGAAGTGGGTGCACAGACTCTGGTAAGTGGATCCACTTCTAATTCTCAAGTGGCGAAATATATTGCTACGCTGAAAACATTGCAGTCTTGAGTGAGTGGTAAATCGTTGGTGAGCTACTGCTCTGTGACTTGGGCTATTTACGAAAGCTGTGACCTGTCAGCTGCCAACGTCGCCAGCAGTAAGTCATCACCTGCGTCCACTTGAATAATATAATGTGCATAAAATGCAGCACTGAAAATTGAGTATGTTGTTTTGCAGTACTATTCTGTCAGAGTGTGAAGTATTTTGTAAATGTTGTGTTGTACAGCACCAGTGATTTGAAATTTTTCTACACTACTCGCACCAGTTCTATTATGATGAATGCATGCACCTGTACCCATAAACACCATGTGCATGCACATACGCAGGCACGCGTGTGAGCCTACATATTGTGTGTGTGCGCTCGCGCGCAGTGCATGTTGTGTGTGTGCGTGCGCGCACGCGTGCACAAGTGCATGGACAGCAGAATATGGTAACTAAGCTCAATACAAGAGCACGCATTTTACATGTGGGTGTATGCTATCGCGGGTGCGCGTATATGACGTGCATGTATTTGTGTGTGCAAGGGGTACTTGTTTGTGAGTGTATGTGCATGTAAGCGTACATGTACATGTATCAATGTCGACAATGCGCATGCACCCACATACACTTGTGGTTGTTCCATGTTATTGGGAATAGTGTTATGATTATACCTAATGGGTGCTACAATTACTAGCAGTCGTTCATTGCCAATATTGAGTTGAACCTGCATCTACATTGTACATGTACTACAAACATGAAACTGTGAAGTTATTGGCCCAGAATATAATAATTGTTATCCTTCTCAAGCTCTTTGCCTGTTGCTTTATGAGAAATACTAGGAGTGAACTATTGCAAGAGTTGTGATGCAAAGCTGGTCTGAATTGCGTTCAGGGTCAGTAGGCCTCGGCCTGGATCATGAATAACGTTGTGCATGGATCATGCCGATATCCAGATCAAGGGCTAAAAAGCCCAGGAACCATGGCCTCATCTAGTCTCCATGTATGCTATAACAATCTGGGGGACCATTCAATGCGTTTGACACAAAAAAATGGAGTAATACCACAAGGAATGCATAGAATGATCACCTTACCTGAAAAATAGGAATTCCAAGAATTGTGGGAAATCGGCCAATTTTCTGTCCTATTTTTATTTTTGGAGGTCTAAAATGCGCGGTAACCCCCCTAAAATTATATATTTCTAGTTTCTATGAAGTATGAGGATCCCAAAAATAAAATAAAAAGGGCATGTCCATGAAGAAATTATGAAGCTGTGCACCTAATTGTACTTTGCGGACGGGCATTTCTGCGAAGTTCATTTTTGTACCAAAATTACTATTTTTCTGAGTAGTCAATGCTGATTGCCAGATTTTCTTGCTCAAATGCTTCACTGTGTTGTGTGAAAGGACTTGCAATCACAAAGAGAAGCCAGACAACTGGTAAATCTGAAATATAACCCCAAAACAAGCAAATTTAGGCCGAAATCGATAAATGCACCCACCCCTAGAAATACACCTCAAACAGCCTTATCTCCGCGGAAACACCCCCTGAATTTTTTTGTGGAGTAACATGGGATGATATAGAGCACACTCATCCACAAAAAGGAGGGGGTTTATGAAGAAAAAAAATCACCCCCAAAGGGTTGGAGCCTCCTTAACAGCTTGCAAGGCTGAAGAATTGACCGTCACTATTCAGCCTGGTCTACACCATACAGCTATTTGAAGTGACTTTTTCTGGCCAGTGAATCCCTATTTTTGGTCTTTTCATTTTTTTACACACACACTACTACTACTGCAACTACTACTACTACTACTACTACTACTACTACTACTACCACTACTACTACTGCTATTGACAGCTGCCAGAATTGGCCACACACACACACGCCCAAGGGCACGACAACGCTATTAGATATACAGAATATTCACAGTGGTAAAAGAACAGGAATAGGCCAAAATGAGCATAAAAAAGACCACCTCTATGCTAACCGTAGAAACCAGAAAGCCACAGGCTGGGGATTTAGACCGGACCAAAAAAGAGAACGAACCCTAAAAGGGAACCAGAGAGGGGGGGGGGGGTTAGACATGTGTTTGTATTGCTTATGACTCGTAAAAGGGTTTGCAATGATTGACGAACAAAGGCAAGATAATCACGCAGGGAAATTGGAATTGGAATTCGATAATAACGACAATAGAAATAATAATAACACAGCTGCTTGAAATTCGTTAGCATTATGAATAGTATCAACCCTAGAAAGTGTGTGCACGATCGTGCAAATTGTTTGCGCCCTGAACAGGCACTTCGACAGATTAGAAAGAATGCGTAGCTGGCTGGCAGGGGGCCATGAGTGGGTACAATGTAATCGGATAACATATTGCACTACAGCGAAAACACAGAAGGCAGGAAGAGAAGGGAAGGGTACTAATAAACAAGTGGGGTCTAATACCATTGAGGGGTTCTAGTGTCCGCGAGGGGTCCTAATGGCCAAGAGGGGCCTAATACCCATGCGGGGTCATAAAGACTCATAATACCCATGAGGGGGCCTAATACCCCTGAGAGGACCTAATACCCACGAGGGATGCTAACTGCTAACACCAATACCAGATAGATTCAAACACAAAACTGCGCAAGCGGCAAAATCAACTGTGTCATGAAGGTAATCCGTTATGCAGGTAAGCTGGGTAGATTGCGAACATTGCAAGGACGGCAGGGTAGTGATATCGATACCGTATAGCTACAAGACAATCATATCTAAGAAGAGAGACAACTAGAAAGAACTATTTGAGTAATATAATGCTATGTTGTTCGAGAAGAAGGGGGATGGGGGGGGGGAGGGAGGGTAAACTTGGTATACTGGACGCGTGCACACACGTTTGGTGATCAGGGAATGTATGCACTTGCATACAAATGCACGTACACTTACATACGCGTGCACACACAGACGCAGACAGACAGACAGACCGACACACACACACACACGACTAACGTGTCCCTGACGGCTACGGTTTTGTGCCGACATCCCTCGGCAGGGCAAGCTACAGGAGGAGTAACACGGCTAACGTGTCCGCCATGAAGCAAGCTGCACGTGACGTTTGCCACGACTGTGACTATGAACATCATTACAGTTCGGGACCATGGTTACAGCTAACCAGTCAGCTCATAAGGCTATCTCCACACCACCATCATCATCAAGCATACTTATGATGGGACTATTGCTGGGACTATCCGCACTGGCCAATCGCTGCAGAAGAGCCCGTGGACTATTGGAACACTTGTCGCGGTAGTCGCCCTGTTCGGGTATGGACGTCCGCAACTCAGCACTCTTGACTCGCATCACCGGAGACTTCAACTGGGTGGCTGTGTCTGCACCGGGACTGGGCGAGAAGCTCGACGAGTAGCTACCCGACATCAGCGCCTTGCACTGTTGACGAGTGATGCGCTCGGAGCCACTGCTGCGCAGGCGAAAGAAGCCCGTGCGGCTGGTAAAGCTACTGCGTGTGCTGCCACTGCCCCCGTCCGAGCTTCCCGAGCTGCCTTTGCTCACGGTTGAAGTTCTCGATGTGGTGCTCTCACGGCTCCTGCGGAATGTTGCGGTTGACGAATGCGAGCGCGGTGCGGTGTCCGCTGCTTCTCCGCCGCCGCCTCTCGTGAGCAATTTTGACGTGTTTGTCCCCGAATTCGACTGGACGCGTATCGTCGCCAGGCGTCGCATCGGCGGAGGCGCTTGCTGCTGCTTCCTCTTCTGCTGTTCGATGCCATCGATGGCCAAGCGCTCAAACTTCTGCTTGAGTTGCGCAGTCGACGACGCAGTACTGGTTACAACCGGCCGAGGTTTAGCTTCGCCGGTCGAGTGACGTCTGTCTTGCGCGGCGCGTGTATGCGTAGCGTTTTCGTCGCTGCCAGCACTCTCCCCGATCGGTCCGACGTTGGACACCGCTTTCCTGGCATGTCCGCGGCCCCTAGCTGTGAAATCCACGTAGAGCGGGTCTTGCTTCGGTAATGCTATATGCTCTGCAGGTGCTAAAGTCTGACCTTCCCCAGAAACCGCTTTGGCGTGTTTGCTACCGAGCGAAGTTTCCGCGACGTGCTGGTTTTCCCTGGTCTTGGATTCTTCATGTTCGGTCTCTCCTCCACGCGACGCTACGGATGTATTTACTGACGTCGTATCGTCCCTATTGCCTCCATCAAGTCGCTTGATATTGGCCGAGGTCTGACTGGTCCCGGGCTGCCTTTCGGCCACGGATTCTCCACTGGCCGACTCTTCTCTCTGCAAGGACGTGTGAGGGGACAAAGTAGAGACACTAGATGCGCCACTCTCGGCGGTCCGCTTGACGTGAGACGGGGCTTGTGCTGTGCTCGCGCTGCCACCCTGCCTGGCGTCTACACCGATCCACTCTGCTCTTCGCAATGACGTGGGAGCAGATGCGGCGCCTCGATCACCTCCACCGCCATCCTTCTCCGGTAGCATGCTGTCGGTCGAGACCTGCGCGGCGCGCAGACGGCTTCTTGCCATAAGGTCCACATTGGTGGCACATTCCCTACTCAGGGGGCTGGATGCAGGCTTCTGTTCACCACCACCACCACCACACTCCTCACTCAGCTTCAGGTCTAGTAAGGTTTTCGTGGCACGCAGACGGCTCCGTGCGTTCTGGATCTCCGACGCCAGCTCCTGCACGCTGCTGTAATTAGCGGGCTTCTTCCCAGCCGCACCTGATCTGCCGTGTGAACCGTTCACCCTGGCAGGTGCCGACGGATCGCCGCCATCTTTGCTCGCTTGCGGCGTCCGACGCCTCATGCTGCGCCGCATGTTGGCGGCGACACCGGATTTTTCTTTCGACGCCGTGGACTTGCTAACGACGCCAGTTGCGATGGGCGTGGCAGAGCCTCCCGTCAGTGCCGGAAGTAACGCTGACGCCACTGAACCCTTCTTCAGTGCTGCCTTGGCTGGGAACGCCGCATTATTCCGGTGCCTGTTCAAACTCAATGGCGGGGCCGAACCCCCTCGAATGTCGCCATGCCAGTATTCCGACATTATCGAGTTTGGCGGAGTGGCGGTTGCCAGAGTTTCCTCGAACATCTCAATGCGTTCCTTGACGGTGCGTTTGACCTTGACCCGTGGCTTCGGGTCGTTTGACCACAGGTCCACGTCATTGTGCAGCAGGCAGTCTGGGTCTGGTACGCTTTGGGCACTGATGCTGTAATATGATGATGGGGCGCGATTGTCTTGCGGACTGTTGCTGCTCCCTAGCAAAGTGTAGCTCAGACCCAGATCGTCTCTCGCGAACTCGTTGGGTGGGGAGTCCACGTTCGTCGGGAACTGGCTCCATGTGTGCTTGCTCGACGTTGTCGGAATCTGCCCGTCGGTGTCCGCATCCGCCATGACGACACACGGCTCTACGGGACCTGCGTTTCTGGCAGCACGGTTGCTACGAGCTGGCGATCCAGTTGCGCAGAAGGCATCGTCGGCGCGGCCAGGGACTGAAGCCGCAGTTTCCGATTAGTGGCCGGTCATCCGTGAAGACGGCGTCTGCTGCCTCTGTGAGAGTTACTACGTGAATCTTCTCAGGCACCTGAGAAGCTGGCGCTTGGAGGAGCCACCAGAAGGATAGAAGCCAGGGGGCCTTCCTCAGTCACTCCGTAAACAGCCATATCCAGTAACTACCCACAGCTGCAAGAGGCCTGAGGAATTGCCGTGAAACGATGCTCCACTCTTTCCTAATTCAAATGAAACTACGCGGTATTACTCTGTACTTGGGCATGGGAGTTATGCCAGGACAATATACGGTGCCTGATAATTCGAATATGGCTTAAATTCGAACATACCGATTCCCACATAAACTTTCCGAACCTCGAACCGGACATGTACGGTATACCATGGTGTACCGTGTACTCTCGGGAAGACTTCCTGTTCCGAAAACATAAAAATCTGTTCCGTCGGGAAATATTTATAAATGCATGTGTGTACGTGTGCGTGTGCGTCACGTGTGTACGTGTAGAGTCTACGTGTAACGTGTGTACACTGTATACCAGTGTATAGATCAACACTCGAATAGTCATCTGATCTGGTCATGTTAGGGGTCGTCGCAAAAGTTTTCTGTCGTCCCTGAAACGAACATCGTTCATTTCGTACTTGGCCCCCCTCCCCTAGGCCCTCCGCCCCTAGGCCCTCCCTCTGAAACGAACCCAGCTTGCTATGCTGGACGACGAAAATCGCATGCATGTACGGTACATGTCATGTGTACAGTGTCGGTCGACTTGCGATTTTGGCTCGCACCCGTACCCCCTCCCCCCCCCCCCCCCCCCCCCAAATCAAGAGGCCATAACCCAAGAGTACGAGTATGCAACTGTGATCTCTTTTCTATGGGCCAGATGCGCGGCGCGCTGCCTTCATTACATGAGCCCGAGCGCGCTAAAACATGACCACAGCTTTTTTTGAAAAAGTCGAGATAATCGCGATTTGAATTCCGCGGCAAAAAATACGAAGTGCATGCAGTGCAACGCGAGTCGCTGTTGTTGTTCTCTTCGGTCGACTGGACTGTTCCGGATGCAATTCTTTGTTGCAAATAAGTTTATTTGTTTGAGTTTGTATTCCATGTTGCGCTGAGTCGCCTAAAACTGATCGTAATCGATGTATCGACAGAAGAGCCTAGTAGTAGTAATGTACTGCGGAGCGGAAGAAGACGACATCATCGCACTCCATGCGCAGGATAAAATATTTTGAGGATTCGGGTCGGAAACAGAAGGAAGACGATGATGGCTACAGCGACGAGTCATTTGAGGGCGACACTTTCATCGAGCGTAAAAGAATTGATGCTGGTAGTCCCACGATCTGCAGTGACGAGGAATTCTACTCTGATGACAACCTGGCAAGCGATTGGCATCGACACTGACTTGGGAGGTGAGTCGGCCGATGATTTGGCCAGAATGGACATCGCTGCACATATCCGGGACAATGCCAGTATTGGTTGCAAGTGCAAAAACAATCAATGGACTCTGCTGCTCCCTCAACTTGCTCAAGTCGATAATTTGAGTACCCTTATGCGGAACATCGCTAGCATGAGCAGTATGCAGCGAAAGCAGTACTCTCTGGCGAGCAGAGAAAACCGTGTGCAGATGGGCTTTGGTGTGGGGAATATGAGTGCGACGTCTAGTATGTTGAGGAAAACTGTGTGCAGCAGTGTATACTGTATATCTGAAAGTACAGGTGCAGTGTGATGGAGAGGACATGGAGTGCCAACTTCTTCGGCCATCTACAGATGTTGACCGTGTTTTCGCTGGCGGTTCTCCAGTGGTGCTCCAAACAGGAGGTATTTCGGACACCCAGCTCAGCTGCCTATAGACAATTTGGTATTTTGGATGTGGCTGAGTACCTGTCAGCTCATGCTATAAGACCCTGGACAGAGGAACTGACCCGGAAAGGATGAACCAAGGGGCATATCAATTGTGTGCAAAAATGACAATCCCATTGCTGTACATAGAATTTCACCATTTCAACAGTGCTGCATATAATACCATTGTAGCCACACTTAGAGATGTCCAATCAATCCAAAACTTTCAGACAGTGAACATTAGGTGTGTTAGATCATTTTTGAACAAAAAACTGAAAATCGAATTTTTGGTCTGTGGTCATATTTTAGCGTGCTCTGGCTCACATCATTCAGCTGCAAACACCGCACTTTCCCTCCAGTTTGAAAATTTTTTCAAGGTTCCAAGCCTCTTGTACGGGCAAAATAAACACAAGTGCAAGGTCAACAGCTTAGTACCGAGAGAAAATGAGCTGAAATGGCTGTGAAAACAGTCTTATACGGAGGAAGCTACAATGGCTGTGAAAACAGTCCAATAAGGAGGGAGCTAAAATGGCTGTGAAGACAGTCTAATGCGTAGCAAGGCGAGCCTCAGCCTGGACGAGGTCGACAGGCACAAGGTTGATGTGACGGCGGCGAACGGAGCGTGATCCTCGAACGCACCGGATCGCAGACCTAGCAAGAGAGAAAGCCAAGCAGCAGCGCATCCAGAAAAAGACTTTGCTGTAGCTCTCCTTGCGCTTAGAAGCCAGAGCATCAGCAATCCGCTTTACGACGATGTCTGCCTCTGGACCCATTCCGCCGCAAGAGGAGAAGACCAGTGGTGTGAACGAGCCATGTTCAACTTGGTTAACTCTTTCGCCATACTCCCGCTTCTTGGCACCTTCCAACTTGCGATAAATAGATGCAATGGGCTGGGACCGATAGCTCGCTGCGTGGGGATAGAACACCCTCGTATCGAAAAATGCATTGCGGCTATGGTTCCCTGCAGTTTGAAATGAACTTTCGTACGGAACTGGAGTTCACGCGCCAGAATTCAGAGATTGTGTAGGTACTGGAACGAATCGAGCAAAAACGGATGGGCTCGTGCGAGAAATTGAGTGTTTGAATGCATGCTTTCAGAGCGTGATGAAGTATATAATCAGACATGGATGTCAGCAAGAGTACAAACCAGGGAGTAGTACAATACCTGGTATTGTACTACTCCCTGGTACAAACCCCCCATGGGCCATTGGCAATCTAAACGTGCAAGTCACCACCTCCGGTCGCTTCCTGGGTAGCTACATTGGTGATCCAGAGGGAGTCTCTTCCTTTGTCCGTAGCAGAGTGAGTGATTGGGTCGATGGTGTCAACTGTCTTGCCAAGGCAGCAAAGGCGTACCCGCAGTCAGCACACTCCGCGTTCACGAGATCCCTCTCGTGCGAGTGGACCTACCTCCAGCGTGTGTTGGAAGGCAACGAGACCGAGTATACTCCCCTGCGGGACACTATCCGGCACGTATTCGCCCCCAGCTTGCTAGGTCGTGAGGTGCTTGACGTTGAGCAAGATCTGTTGGCCCTTCCAGCCAAAGTGGGAGGTCTCGGCCTGGCCAATCCCGTTACGTCAGCCCCTGATGCTCATGCCACATCGAAGCGCGCCACTGAGATTCTGCAGGCTGCCATTTGCACCGGTGCACCGGTCGACATGGCTCACCACATCAGCCAGTGCCGTCAAGTCACCAGCGAGGTCAGCCGTGCTCGAGACCTGCAGATGACGGAACGTAGTAAAGTCCTCCGAGCTGCGCTTCCGCGTCGCCAACAGCGGACCCTCAACCGCATCGTTGATGGCAACGCTTCCGGCTGGTTGACCGTGCTTCCTCTCAAGCAGGAAGGTTATGACATGTCGGCGGTCCAGTTCCGCGATCAGTTGGCCATTCGCTATGGCCAGGAGCCGAACGCTCTCCCGTCGCATTGCGATGGCTGTGGAGCTGCTTTCTCTCTACAGCATGGTCTGGATTGCATGAAGGGTGGGCTCATCAAGCGCGGGCACAACGATGTCCGCGACTTCGATGCCCGGCTGGCAGACGCTGCATGGGGAGGTGTGGCTGTCGAGCCGGTGATGGTACCTGTGCAGGATGGCAACAACCGCCCCACACTGCAGGCGGATTGGCTGGTCCGGGGAGTTTGGGAAGGAGACAGGGTGGCGTACTTTGACAACCGCATCGTGGATGCCGACGCACCCAGCTATGTCCGCTCGAACCTCTCTTGGAACGCCGTATCCAACAGTGCTGCCTCTTCCAAGAAGAGAAAGTACAAGACGGCCGCAGAGGAGCTGCGAGCATCCTTCACCCCGCTGGTCTGCTCAACTGATGGTGCACTGCACACAGAGTACCGTGCGTATCAACGGCGACTTGCTATGCGCCTTGCCTCCAGGTGGGACAAGTCCTACAGCAACGGGGTACGGGTAGGACTAAAGGCCAGGGACAAGCCCAACTTTTTTTGCAGTTTTCTGCAAAAACGTCACAGGCTGCTCTTCGCAGGTGTCCGCGTCGGAGCGGTCCGGGCGAGCGACCGCATCTCACTTATATACCGGGATAGACAAATCCTTGCTTAAATGCCCTTGCCTTGGTGTTGCTCCTTTCATTTTTATTTGTTCTTGCTGAGAAAGAAACGTTGCTGCTTGGAAAGCTTTCTGTTCACTCCAGCGACTTTCCTCTAGTAGCATTGCTCACTGATAATGATCATAGCTCGTGATGCCAATGGTGAAGAGAAGCTGGGTTTCTTGCCATTTGCAACTTCCTGGCTCTGAAAATATAGCTTGAACAAATAAGAGCTCCAAGTATTTTAGTTTTAGATTTCTATGTGCCAGACCTATCGTTACAAGATGCAGAGATGAGGAGCAAGGGAGGCGTTGGATTAATGCCAATAATGGTGTTTATGGCCCAGACAACGCCAGCGATTTTCACTTGTCAAGAGGACAGTCAAGTTGGAGCAGGCAGATGACAGATTATTTGAGCATTTATGGCGGAGTGGGTGGTTTGCTAAAGAGAATCGTCTCAGTACCTCATGGTCACTAGTATCTGACAAACGCCTCTTATTGCTAGTCTGCATTAGAGCATAGCAGAATTGATCATGTCACAAGTAGTGTCAAGACTTGATGCCCTACGATTATACTCAGATCATGTTGTAACTTCACTGGAATATCCGTCCTGCCACTTTACGCTCTCCCAGAATTGCCTGCAGGAGTCACGTGCCTGTGCAAGGGACAATGCGTTTGCATTGCTTACGGATGCAAGCGGATGGAGTGTAGACCAGATGAGAAAAAGTGATCCGGATATTCAACTAGCTTGGACCGCCATTATAAATTTGCCTGATGCCTGGACTATCTGAACATTGCTCCAAACCAATCCACAGAAGCAATACCCACACAGGAAGCCAAATGATAAACCCATTCATCAGCTATCGAACCTTTCATCAAAACATAATGCAGTGCATGCCTACTACTATGGCGTTTGCGCTGGCTTGGACACGTGGCACGAATGGAAGATCACCGGTTGCCGAAGTGTGTTCTCTTCGGTGAACTGCCTGCCCCGCGCCCCGCGCGTGATCCACGCAAGAGGTGGAGGGACGTCGTTATGCATGACTTTGCGTCGGTTGAGCCACCGGTACCAACATGTGGATGGTACGATGCAGCCCAGAACCATCCGGAGTGGCGTGCCATTGCCCGTCAACCACCCAATGCACCCTCTGCTGCTGGCTACGGTTGCGCCTGCGGCCGCATGTTCCGTTGAAGCGGCGACCTGAAACGCCATCAGTCATTCTGTCGTGGACTGGAGAAATAACAATGCGCTATCATTGCTTTGCAATGGGCAAGGTCAAGGTGTGTTTATGGTGGTACAGGACATGCTATGTACCCCTCTTTGGTCGCTCACACATTATCCATTGCCGGCATTGGTTACACGTTATTATCAATTTGTTATGACCTTCGCTGGTCTGCACACCCACCCACTCTACTCTCTACTCTACTCTCTAAAGTTGAGACTTTCGTTTGCCATTTTATCCGGTAGTTTGACTCTCTGAGAATATCCCTGCTACATGTACATGTATAATATAATTTATACTTTACAATTATCCTTGTACGTGTCTATCTTCTTGACACCATGACTTTCTTTGAAGGTCTTGTAGCTATGAAATGTTATTTGCTGCAGGTCATGTGTGTGGTGTGTGTGTGTGCATCCGTGAATGTCCCACGCTTGGCCCGTGGGTAAATATACAGTCATGTATATGTTATGTGCCACACCAATTTCGCTATCTGTATTATATTATGCAGCACAGTGGCAGGCATAGAGAGAGAGACGTTTTAATGTCTCTGATGTGAATTCTTCACTACTACATAATCTACATTGTACTTGTATGATCGAGCGTATGAGTGTGTGTGTACTTGTATGATCGAACGTACAAGTGTGTGTGTGTGCATTTGCAGATTTGGTGCTTCTCTTGCGACGGGCGTTTACATGGTGTGTGTGGGTGCATCCGTGAATGCCCCACGTGTGGGTATTTATACAGTCATGTACGTGTTCTGTGCCATTCAATTTCACTAACTGTATATGCAGCACAGTGGCAGGCATAGAGAGAGAGAGAGAGAGAGAGAGAGAGAGAGAGAGAGAGAGAGAGAGAGAGAGAGAGAGAGAGAGAGAGAGAGAGAGAGAGAGAGAGAGAGAGAGAGAGAGAGAGAGAGATACGTTTTAATAATGTGTCTGAGGTGAATTCTTCACTACTACATGTACTTGTATGATCGAGAGTACGAATGTGTGTGTGTATGTGTGCGTGTGTGTGAATGTCCCACGCATAGCCACGTGCGCGGTGCCACACAATTTCATTATGTGTAGAACAGCGGCTGGTAGAGAGATAGAGACAGACAGACACAGAAAGACAGAAACAGAGGGATGTGCATAAAGAGCGACAGACAGAGACACAGACTCAGAGAGAAAGAGACAGAGACAAACAGACAAAGCGCAGACTGAGGAGAAAACAGACCGAGACAGACAATCAGACACAGAAAGACCGAGACAGAAACAGAGGGACGCACATAATGAATGACAAAAGGAGAGACAGACACAAAGACTCAGAGAGCCAGAAACAGAGGGTCCTTAGGGAGAGACAGAGAGAAAAAAAACTGAGAAAGGGAGAGGCAGATCGAGAAGGAAGAAGACACAGAGACTGAGATAGGGACAAAGAGAGACAGAAGAAGAGAAGCAAACGGAGAAACAGCGACATAAGTACAGGGCCAAGAAGACAGGCAAACGGAAAAAGACAGACAAACATAGAGAAACAAGCAGAGACAGACCAAGACAGGGAGACAGCTGGAGAGTTACACAGACAAACACAGATAGGCAGATACTCTTGGGTTAATTAAAGGGGAAGTTAAGGCAAAAATTAAAATTTCACCAGTTGTAGTCTTCGGGGAGGTCTGCATTTGCCACTAAGGTGTACACGGCATAGGCATAGTGGTGGCCTGCGGAAGCGAAGGCTAGTTTGTGTGTTTCTGAACATTCAAGCGATGCCAACGCGAATCCCGCGAATTATTATTATTAGTCTTCGGGGTGCTGAATCGAATGGTCTTGGTCCGAGTAAGCTGAGACGCTCCCTTCCTACTTGAATCCCAATCGAACTCGCGCACTTCCACCGAAACTGGGTGACTGCGCCCTACTAGATGGGGATTTGTATGCAAAATGTCACTAAAAGCGCCATTTCGTTCTTATAAAAGCACGGATGACCGCGATTGGCCCATATGTTGTAGTCTTTTGGACGCTGAGTCGACTGGTTTTGGTCCGAAAAGGCTGCGATGCAGCGTTCCTCCTTTATTCCCAATCGAACATGGTTGAACAAGTGGTCAACAAGTGGTTCGACTCAGCACCCCGAAGACTACAACTGGTGAAATTTTTATTTTTGCCTTTACTTCCCCTTTACACCCCCCCCCCAAATTAAATGAATCATGTTCGTTTCAGGGACGACAAAACACTTTTGCGACGACCCCTTATTTAGCGCGCAATGCCGCGCATGTTTTCTTTGTGGGTAGGCCGTTGACGTCATTTCCGATGCTTCAGATCAGATCTGGTCGTGGTGATTCAGATGAACCTTTCGAGCTTTTTCCTTTCTTGGATTTTGTTTTCTGACTCTGAGAGGTTTTCTTGTTGTAGTGGACGTCTTCTTCCGAGTTCTGTTCTACTGCACTCGTTACCATAGAGACGTATAGTCTTTGTCAAGAGTACATGAAACCTCTTGTCTTTGTAGATAACCAGATGACGACAGCAAGGATAGACTGTCTCCCTGCCAGGGTTTCAATGCGCAAACTCAGTGGACCTCAAAGAGTCAAAAATTAATGACAAATTGTCACAAAAGCCTGAAAAGGCGTCGTGCAAAAACACTTCAATACTCACTCCATGGATCCAGGTCAGTCAAACCTCAAATCGATCCCCCCCCCCCCCTCTCACACACACACACACACACACACACACACACACACACACACACACACACACACACACACACACACACACACACATACCAGCACATGTACACACACAAACACACACACCACACACACACACACACACACACACCAGCCATCATGACTTTGTACAGACAAGCACAATACGGATGAAAAAAATAGGAAGTGAAGTAGTACGCCCCCGACTTAGGGGAGTGTGTGTGTGTCCGTGTGTGTGTGTGTGTGTACATGTGTGCGTGCGTTTGTGTTTACTTGTGTGCGTGCAGGAGAGCATTTGTACATGTGGCTAGTGAAACTGTGAATAATATAGTACGGAAAGGTGGTAATCAAAAAATGCGATGCAAAAAAAATACTCAAGAATAGACAGCGACGGGGAAAAAAAAGACATGATGATCGCCAAGGGTGCCCTTGCGCAGCGCCTGTGAATGCGAGAATGCGAGTGCGGTGTGCACGCTCGTGCAATTCTGCGCGTTGGGCATGACAACTGAGCGGGGATGATGCACAAATTCGGCGCGAGTCACCGCCATATTATACAGGATGGCAGACCCGTGAGAGGAGAGGGGAGGTCAGTAAATATTGTCTTTGGAAAATAGAAATTCATAAGCTGGACGAGAGGGGGAAAGAGAGGGGAAGTTTAATCAAACTATTCAAACTGCGTCTATGGATGATCCTGTCCGGTTGGGGAGACAACTGTCTTGAGGGCCCTACAGAGATTCTCCTTGATAAAATTATAAAAGGAATCTAGACGACCAAAAGTGAGACACATGCACATGCGTGCACACACACCCACACACACACCCACACGCACACACACACACACACACACACACACACACACACACACACACGCGCACAAGGGGGCCAGCCCTGATAGGAAAAAGAACTGCACGAACAATTGGCAAGACTCGTGAGGAATGTGCAAAGCTTCACAAAGCTCTAGATGACGGCATGGCAGTGGAGCAGAAGCTGTCTTCTCCGGTGTCAGCACCTCACGCAACACAGTCGCAGACCAGGCTAGAAGGACACTGTAATGCACTAAGGATGGGGCATTGAGAATGACACACACACACCGGCGCGGAGGGCAGCGAAAAGCGCACGGCCAGATCGAACACGACGGACCGTCCAGGCCATCCATAGCCACGAGTCCTGCCCTTGAATTACTCACAGAGAGAGCAACGTGACAGGCTCGGGCTTGTCTTGTACTTGGAGACGATCGAAACAGGGCAGACGATCGAAACAGGGCAGACGCTGCAGCCACCGTCCATTCCAGGGCACCATCATTTGTGGAGATGAAAACACACCACTGGGTGAGTGTTCGCTCTTCTTGTGCGAAGTCTACAAAGCTATCTCCACACCGCCATCATCACCCAGAGTGCTGTTAACGGGGCTCTTACTCTTAGCCGCGTCGTCGATACTAGCCAATTTCTGCAGCATTGCGTTTGAATTGCTGTGGCTGCTGCTGCTGCCGTTACTATTACTGTTGTTGTTGTTGTTGTTGTTGGGTTTGTTGTTGGCATCGCCATCATCACCGCCCTGCTCCGATATTGCCATCGGCGGTCCGACGCTTTTCGCTCTGCTTAGCGGCGAGTGTCCTTCCGCGGGTGCGCCCTTGCCACCGGAGCCAGAGGCAGAGCTGGTCTGGAAGCGTGACGAGTAGTTGCCCGCCATCAGGTCCTTGCACTGCTGGCGCGTGATGCGCTCGCGAGCGCCGGCCCGCACCCGCATGGACGAGCCGCGACTGCCCAGTCGCATGCGCGCCGACACCGTGCGATGGGCTATGGTGCTGGCGGCGGCGGTGCTGGAAGCAGCCGTTATCGCGGTTTGGTCACCGCCGCCACCGTTTCCATGGTCACCATCACCACCACCACCAGCAGCACCACCAGCAGTAGCACTGTCGGCGTGAGTCGTCGTCGTCGTGGACGCGGATGCGGCGGCGCGGTGGCCAACGGTGCAGGCAGTGCAGCCACCACAACCGGCCGCTCCACCGTTGGTGTTATTGTTGGTATCAGTGCTGCCCTGCTGTCCACCGCCTGCTGCGCGCTGCTTGCGCATTAGCGCAGCGCGGCTGCTAGCTGTACTGGCGGCGGAGGCCTGCATACCCTTCATACCAGTGGCACTGCCAAACGTATCGTTAATGGCCCTGGCCTTCATATCCATACTCAAGGCGGCAAAGCCCATGGATTGGGTCTTGCGAAGACCTGCGGTGGACGACTGGGAGCGTGCGACCGTGCCCGATGTCGAGTTTCCGCCGCTCTTCGCCCCGAAGGACGTTGCTGCGTTAGTGGACGACTGGGTCTGCGGGCGCACGGAGCCACCAGATCCGCGCAGCTTCTGCGGCTGCACCGCGTTTACGCTGGCCATTTGCTCAAACTTCTGCTTGAGCAGTGCGGTGGAGGAGGACGCAGTGATGACCGTCACGGCGATGGTGGTGGCGTCTTCGGCGGCGGCACTCGACTGTTCTCTGCGCGTTATCACTGCTGGTAGCGCTGGCTTTGTGCGTGGTAGCGGAGTAGAAGTCTGATCATGGCTACCGTCCTCGTCGGTCTGTTTGATGTTGGGCAGGGTGCGAGTGGAGCGCAAGCGGCTTCTCGCCTTTGAAATCTCCGACGTCAGTTCCTCTTGCATGTTGGTGTACTTGGCTTGCTTGGCGTCGCCGCTTGCTTCTGGGATGCTCTGTCGTGAAGTACCAGTGCTAGCTTTGGAGGAAGCCGCCAAGCCAAGGTCGGATTTGCTCGTCCAAGACGTACGCTTCAGCAGGCCGCGGCGGAAGGTGGAGGTGATGCTCGACCTCTTCTTCTGCGACGCCTTGGGTTTGGCATTTGCGGCGGCCGCTACTTCTTCAGCCGTTGCCTTCGTTGCTGCTGGGGGAGCTGGAGCTGGTGGAGGCACTGCTGTTGCCGCGAGATCTCTACTCGAGCTCCTGGTACGAGGCGGGGAGCTCTGCTCGGCTGCATCGGAATACGTTTCGGCTGCCGACTGAGGAGGCGAACCTCGCGTTTCCTCGAAGCGTTCAATGCGCGTCTTGGCCCCACGTGCCTTGCTCTGCTGGTGTGGGCTATCGGTCCAGGGGTCCTCGTCGTCCGGCAACAAACACTCGGGATCCTGCAACTGAGCAAAGCCCATGTTCTGGTACGTTGCCAGGTGTTGCTGCCGATTGCCACTGCGGTTAGTGCTGGCCGGCAGAGTGTAGCTGAGTCCAAGATCGTCCAGGCCGGGGTTGTAGCACGTGGAGGGAGCGGCATCCGACGACGAGTGAGACCACGAGCTCTTGCTCGCCGACATGCCAAACTGCAGGTTATTGTCCGTATCGGGGGGCTGCGCCACTACGGCGGCTGGCTTAGCGCTACCGCTGTGCTGCTGTTCACCGGCGGAATCTGCAAAGACGTCGTCACTACCGCCGGAAACCCTGGCCTTGGATTGCGTAGGGTCAAGCGGCCAGTCGTCCGTCAAGTTAGAGTTGTTACGCCGCCCGGCACTGCTGCCGCTATGAAACGAGCCGTTGTTGGACTCGCGGCTGGTCAGGCGACGGCGAAAAAGACGCTTGGCATGCCCCAGGGAGCGGAAGAACACCGACGGGCGACTACCTCTCTGCGTCGATGCCATGGAGTCGGAGCGGCGGTGCAGGCCGGAGGACAGGCTGCTGGTCGACACCGCCGTCTCGGCCAGCGAGTGAGACCGTCGGCCGAACTTCATGGCGCTGACGGACGACGAGCGTGTCTGCTTGGACGGCGTGGCAGTCGTCGCCGCGGTGGCGGAGCTCTGCACGACATGCTCCAGCGACTGCACCTGATGCATCTGTCCGCTCTTACTGTCCTTGCGCGACAACATGCCCCACGCACCTAGGGCTCTGCTGACACGCCCGCTCAACGTTCCACCACGCGGAGCACTGCTCTCCGCCGTCGGGCCGGTGAGGCAGGAGGCGCGGAAGTCGGCCAGCGAGATCGACATGTGTCGGCGAGACTCCATAGGGGACATTGACCCCGCTCTGCCACCACCACCGCCACCACCACCCCTTGTTTTCTTCATCGCCGCCACGATGCTGGTAATGTGATGGGTTTGCGAGCTATGCCCGGACTGTGGCCCGGAGGCGGAGCCGGAGATAGAACCAGGTCCGGTTGGCACCGAACTCACACTGCCGCACAGAGTATGCTCCGACGTGCGCCAGTTCTTGTTGTGCGTGCTGGTCACGGATTCAAGGCTCTCCGGCGGCAACGTCTGTGCCGCGTCCACCTGCCGATCGGCAGCAGTAGCTGCAGGAGAACTGCCAATGGTGTTGCTGCTGTCCGGGGCGATAGCGCTGCTGCCGCTCGATCCGGCAATACTGCGAGACAAACTGGTTGCGAGTGGAGTTCGCGATGACGAGCATTGATCATCGTGCGCCGCGTGCGCATCTTTGTCGCCAACGGCAACGCTCCTCCTGGAGGAGAAGATGGAAGAGCGAGAACTCTTCTGCCGATCGATCGTCGGATCACTCGCCCCGTTGCCATGGTTAACTGCCGGGTTTGAGGAGCGGGGAATGATACGTCGGGCGACTAGCACCGTACGCCACAGCTTCTTCACCTTGCTCTTGCGCGAGCTGAGAGTCGCCGAACTGCCGTCCTGCATGGGAAGCCACGGCGACATGCTGAAGCTGTTGGCGCAGACTCTCGCCTTGCCGTCAACGGCGTACCAGATGCACGGGTCTGATCTGTGTAGCTTGTGAGATAGCGATGCAATGGCAGCGGGCGCGAGCTTGAGTTCGGCGTGCTTGGAATCACGCTTGGTGACAGTGCGGCCGAGCGGGATGCTGATGTCGTCCTTGTCAGCGCCTTCTGACTTCCCTCGAACGCGCGACACGATAGCCGGGGGCGCCGAAGGACCTCGAGATTCGTCTTCGGAGTCTCCGGAGAGCGAGGCAACCTCGGCAGACAGGCAGCGGTGCTTCTGCTCCGGCTGATCGTCACACACGGCCAGCTTGCCAACACTCAATTGGCTACGTAGCCGTACGGACGGGGATGACGACGCGGGCGACTGCCGCAGTGCGGGCGACTCGGCACTGCCGCCACCGTCACTCAGCGAAACGCTTCTCGCCGTCTTGGCAGTGGCGGCGCCGGCACTGCCGGTAGAGTCGACGGCGGCGCGATGGAACAGCGTCTCCGTCGACGATCCGCACACTTCGGCGCTGTTCGGGGCCAGGCAGGGCGAATCCTGCACTGGCGTAGCGGCGGTGGTCAAGGTCTTTGGAAGACTTGAGCCCTCCTCGCTGCTACTCGACGAGCTCTGGCGCACGGCCGGCAGGCGTTCGCACGGGTCGTGGCGTATCTTGACGTGGCAGCAGCCCTCCAGCGGCAGGTGTATCATACTGTCAAGGGACTGTGCGTGGCGCGGCGATACAGCGGCCGACGCCGTGTGAGCAAGCGCGCGGTGAGGCGCGTTGCGGAGCTGCGGCTGAGACAGCTGCCGCTTATGGTTCTGCAGCAGCCGGCGCTTGTGGTACAGCTGCTGCTGCTGCTGCTGCGGCTGCTGCTGTTGGTGCTGGTAGGAGAGCTGCGATGTCCAGAGGTCGTTGATGCTGGTGAGGCTGTTGGCAGCTCTGACCGACGGGCTACGACTGGTGCAGCTGCCGCTTCCACTTGTGCTATCACTGTATCTACTCCTGGCCCAGCGTGCGCGCAACGCCGTGCCCACAATCGACGTGCTGCCATTCGAATCCACACTCGTCTGGTTTGACGAGGGCAGCGAGGAGAACAAGCTAGCGGAGCGAGGACTCTGCGGCACGGAGCGCCGTTTGGCCGTGAGGCTGTTCCAGCTAGAGCTGTTGCTGGTGCTGCGTACGCTGCCACCACCACCGCCACCGCCGGGAGTGAGTCTGTGCCAGGCGCGGGCCAGGCGCGACCGGTGCCTGCCTTTGCCGAGGCGATCAGTCAGAGAGCCGTCGAGCACGTCACCCAGAGCCGTGTTATCGCCAATGCCATGCAGCTGGGTGCAGCTGCTGCTCTGATAGCGCGGGTATCGGTCGCCACGGTCTACAGTGGCGGCGCGGGGCCGCGTCTCCAGCGGCTGCGAGCAACGCTGCTGTAGGGGAAACGAGGGCTGGTGACGCAGTCCCTGCTGCTGCTGTTGCTGCTGCTGGGTCCGCGGATAGTGCTGATGATGCTGCTGCTCATTGTGCAGCTGTGCCGCGTTGTACGGCTTCCAGGGGAAGTCCAGGCTGTTCTTAGAGGCATTGTGCGACAGATGCGCGGCTATGCTGCTCGAGATGCTGGAGTCGGATCGGCTGACGATGGAGTGGCTGCAGAGGCTGTCCAGGGAGGACTGGCCAGACAGGCCCTGCGCTAAGTTGCTCTTGCTGACGCTGTGGAAGCGGTGCATGCGCGCTCGCCACGTGGCGTCCGCCATGTCGCTCGACTCGCGGCTGTGGCTGACCGACGAGCGCATGCTGATACCGCCGGAGGTGATGCTGCTGGAGAAGGACGAGCCCTTCTTCAAGCAAGGGCTGCGCAGCTTGCTCGAGGGGCTCTGCTGGCGCGAGCTGAACTGAGACGAGCTGAACTGGTCGTCACTGCTCGTCTTCTCGCCGGACGAATGGTTGTACAAAGAAGACCTGCAGACACACGCATGCATGACACAAACGACACAAGAAACACACGGTTGCTCAATCTGCAGACAGAACTGCTCCGTCCTTTGTGGACTCATCAGCGCAGCACAGAGAAAATGAGGCCGAACCTGATAGCAATGAAAAAAAACTCGAAAAACTGAAACACACGGTTATGAAGACGTATGCCTAGTCCACACTAGACTTATTTTCGGCCGATATGGAATCGGCGCGAAAACAAACCTCTAGATAGGCGCGAAAACCGCCTGGTGTGGACTGTGTTGTCACGTACAAGTTTCCGACAAGTACTATCGGCATAGTGTGAGGAAGGCTTTAGGTATAAAAACAGAGTACATCTTGGGATTCAAACCTAGGAATATGTATCCACTCAAGCTCCACAAAATAATACTCTTAAATCTTAACTTATACAAAAGAAGAAGACCAAGGAACTACAAGTTATGCTATACTGTCCACTAACACCACCAGTTACTAAACAATCAGCTCATGCGACAACATTGCACGACACTGACCGACGGTACTGACGTTGTTTAGTAACTGGTGGTGTTAGTGGACAGTATAGCGTAACTTGTTGTTCCTTGGTCTTTCTCCTTGGCTCTCCATCTGGGTAAATCTTTAACTGTGAAAATATACTTTCTATCAAATAATGCAACTCCTACACAGCATCATGGCTGGGTCTGGCATCCCTACAACGAACATCGTTCTTGCCGTAACCCCCTCCCGGAAATGAACACAGCTTGCTATGCTGGCATAATAATTATTATGATGAATTGTGTACTCCGGGACATAATGGATGAGCGTTTGGAAAGGGGAGAGGGGGGGGGGGGGGAACTGTGCGTTTTGAGGACAATAAAAACCTTTGAGATGGCCCGTCGTATTCTACTTACCCATCTACAAAACCAGTCAAGTTATTTTATACCGAACAATTTTATACTTATTAAAACCAGAAAAGGCCAGTGGAGCTACTGCGGGTTGCGAGTCGTGTACGCCATAACCTGGTATGGGGTGTGGTATTCTTCATTTTATTTCACCCAGCAAACAGGCAATGGTGCCTTCTCACCAGCCAACGGCTGACTCTCACCGAATGATGGAATTTTATGAATTAATGATTATGATAAAAACTTCAAACGCGAAGCATGAGGTACTGTAGAGAAAGAAAATTTCGTCAGTCAATAATTTCGTCCAGCTCCAAAAACGGGGAGTTTGTCCGGTTGAAAATTTCGTCCACGGATCATTAGGGTGTATAGAAAAGCTGGACAAATCGACAATAAATGTAGAAAGGAAAAGGACATATGGATACGAGTTAACCCTTTAAGAGCCGCCCCATACTTGAATGCGTCGTAAACGACGCATTCAAATGCAAAACTTCAAAAGATCGTAACTCAGTCCAATCTTGCTCAAATCCAGTGATCGAAATATCCAGGGCGAAGAGAAAACTCTCACCTGTCGGGAGAAACAATCCGCGAAGCACTGCGAGCTACGGTTCCTGAGATAAATCACTCGTAAGCTGAGCCGCGATCGCGGCAATTTCAAAAGCGCGCAGTGCGACTTTAGTATTGAGAATTTTGAGACTTTTCGTCACGCTGGTTTACTCGAATTTGCACGGGTTTCACTGTTGATATTGTCAAGAGTACACAGCGAAAAAAATTGGAACTCCACGATCGAGTAAAAATGAAATATCTGGAGCGGGACGCAATTGGACGCATTTGGGGCATTTTTCGTACTATCGCTGCGATATATCGCTGGCTAGACGGTGTGCTGGCAATCATGATCAACCTCATTCTCTTCCTCTCGCGGAGACCTTTCCAGGAAGCCCTAGATTGTGAGGATTGAGTGAGTAGAACTGAAGCTATGATCCAAAGAACACGAACAAATGCAGAATTTTGAAATTTTCCTGTGGCTCTTAAAGGGTTAAGAGTAACTCTCCATCACTGTAACTGGATACTATATACAGTCAGAAAGTGCAATAACTAGGCACACAACTGACTCTTAACTCATATCCATATGTCCTTTTCCTTTCTACGTTTATTTATGGCTCAGCATCCGAGTTTCAAATCGACATTAGTCCGGCATTAAATTTAGTCCAAAAGGTCCTCGGACGAAAAAGACGAAATCAAATTCCACACAAATATTTCTGCATAATATAGAGTACATGCAGAGAAGAACTAAGTACTGAAACGTATGACTGGTCGGCGTATTCCACTTACCCATCTCTAGCGGTGCCGACGGTGTTGAAACCGGACGTCACCTCACCGACCGTGGCTACCGGCGAGCGCTGCACGGGCGAGCGGTGCAGGGCGGTGGACTTTGGCGAGCACGAGGAGGCAGAGCTGCTGGTGCACTCAGCGCTACCCGGCCTGTGGTGTGTGGTCGTCGTGGTGGAGAGCATGGCGCACGGCGACTGGCGCGGTGCTGCCATCATCACGTGATCGCGTTGCATTGTGCTAAACATCACACACACCAGCAAACAAACAAACAGCATTAGAAAAGCCTCTCTCAAGCTCTGCCACTCAGTCACATGCAGGTTTCCTTGCGGATTTCACCCCTGACATATCAGCGGTGGCCGGACATCATGGCGATGTGAATGACTGAATGACCAAGACGTAAGGGGTCGTCCACAAATATCGAACTTTTTTCAACGAAAAAAAATCGTTATGGGGTGGGAGGGGGTTGAGCAATTTCGTTTCAGAAAACATTGATACATGTACATGGCCGTGGGAGCAGTGACACCCTTGCGACTTTTGTTGTATTATGCATGTAGATGTCAACATTGTTTACGTTAACTAAGATAATTAATTTGTTTGGTGAAAAAAGTTCGATATTTACAGACGACCCCTTAAGTTATGAGCACAGGATCTCCCCACAGGGAAACTTCTGATTATTTACTTGCTAAACTTTGCATACACACGCACGTACACGTACGCACATACACTCTGCACATGCCCATAGATGAAGCGGCGATAGCGAACAAGCTGACTTGTGCTGGGATTACACAATTCAACAGCTTGCAAGGCTGATTAATTGGCCAACACTAGAGTTTGCATGGTCTACGTCACACAGCTGATTGAAGTGGCTTTTTCTGGCCAGTCACGGAATAACTATTTTCATTTTTTTAATGTTTTACACACGTGCACCCACTCCCATCCACACGCTCGCACGCACATATGCACGCGCACACCCATGTACCATGTATACGCCCGTCGCAAGAGAAGCACGCAAATGCAAATGCACTGGATGTGCACCCACAGATTTTCTCTTCATGAGCAACGATAGCGGATCTGATTCTGATTGAAACAGATCAAGACAAGCGCCAGATAACTGTCTAATCCACACAACTGGCGAAGCCACGTGAATCGACCCCCCAATGCACACCTGGTCTACACCACATGGAGTACATCGGAATAGGACACACCCACGCACACACATACACACACGATTAGACTAATTGGCTGTTCCCTCAAGTCAGCTTCAACCATCAACCATCACCTGACAGTATAACCATTATGCACATTTACGTCACATTCGCGTGTGTGTGTGGTTGTGTGCGTGTGTGTGTGTGTGTGTGTGTGTGTGTGTGTGTGTGTGTGTGTGCGCGCGTGCGTGCGTGTGTGTGTAAACAGAAGTGTAGAAAGTTGGTCTTGGAAGTGAAACAGAGACAATACGCATACATACGAGCACGAGCATATAACCAGGAGATCTCTATGAGCGGATATAGCTGCAAATATCCCCATTGAAATGCACTGCATCCTCCAAAAGACCGTTGGTAGGCCGGGACTATGGCATCAGCTGCTTAGGTGACAACAAACGTTAACTGTGAAGTCCACTGCAGATGTCCGCCTTCGGATGCAAAATGTACTGGCGCGTACGCACGGACCCCATTCACTGTCCCCGGCATCAAGAGTACATAACCCCCAAGAATGGGCAACTGCCTGCACAATCTCTACTCAGTGCTGCCACGGCAGAACATCACATCACGTAACATGCCATTCAAAAAGGTTACGCTGGCAAACAGTGCAAAGCGACGCACAGGACAGTTGAACCCAAAGCAGGGTTGCATACAACCATGCATCTATCATGCACAGGGTGCAATAAAATGTGTACGGGTTCGTGACGTGAAGTTCTGCCGTCGCAGATTCCATAGCTGGAGTTACACATTCTCGGGGGTTACACTGGCGAGAGTTCCCAAATTACCTAGAGTGCTCAACACTAGCTGCATCTCATGTTTGGCATTTAAGTGGTCTTTGTAAAATAAATTTAAAAATAAATTTAAAAAAACACCACACAGATGGAGAGAACAGAGACAACCGGCTAGGCCATTGTTGTAACGCTGCGCACTCTTGGCCGTTATGTACTCTTGTCGGTATGGTAGGAGACACGCTTCTCACCCCGTAGTATGAACTTCGCGGTGTGCTATGCAACGGTAAACTATGTCCTCTTTCCTGGCTCTCCAAAATCTCTTCGGGCACTAGCTACACATGCACAGTACATAACCGTGTAAGAACCAAATACCCTTTTGACGGTGGTTCAAGTCATCATTTCCCAATCTTGCAACGCGCACAGATAAAGTGGAACTCACTTAGTACGTACTCGGATGAGACATACTCGTGCTTAGTACGGAAAATCTGTCCCCGGGGAAAATCGCGGAAAAAAATCGCAAAAAACGCGGGGGGGGGGGAACGCGGCATATGGCATAATTTGCGGTAAATATGCGGTAAACATGCGGTGAATATTATTGATATGCGGCAAGTTTGCAGTTGATACGAGGCAATTTTCATTGAGTATGTAGTGAAATCAATCAGTTACAAGTCTCTGGTGTAAGCACTCGTCATATTTGAGTACAAAGCCGCCACGATGAGACATTGCTGACCTAACAGTGCACTGTGTGTACGTGTAGTGCAACAAAAAAGTTCAAAAACGCGGGAAAATCGCGGAAAACGCGGTCTTTTAAAGGGGAAGTTAAGGCAAAAATAAAAATTTCACCAGTTGTAGTCATGGGGGTGCTGAGTCGAATGGTCTTGGTCCGAGAAAGCTGAGACGCTCCCTTCCTACTTGAATCCCAATCGAACTCGCGCACTTCCACCGAAACTGGGTAACTGCGCCCTAGATGGGGATTTGTATGCAAAATGTCACTAAAAGCGCCATTTAGTTCTTATAAAAGCACGAATGACCGCGATTGGCCCATATGTTGTAGTCTTTTGGACGATGAGTCGACTGGTTTTGGTCCGAAAAGGCTGCGATGCAGCGTTCCTTCTTTATTCCCAATCGAACATGGTTGAACAAGCGGTCACGTGCTCCTGCGTACACCATGTACCAGTCACCTGGTCACTGTGCCTGCAGGGTACAACTTACTAGCCTGTTTGACCTTTTTTGGGTGCAGTCCTGTCACTCGAGTTGAACTCGAGTTGAACCTTGGTGTGAAAGTTGTCGCCTGCTGGCGTGGTGACCAGGTGATTTGGGCACCCAGGAGCACGTGACCGCTTCTTCAACCATGTTCGATTGGGAATAAAGGAGGAACGCTGCATCGCAGCCTTTTCGGACCAAAACCAGTCGACTCAGCGTCCAAAAGACTACAACATATGGGCCAATCGCGGTCATCCGTGCTTTTATAAGAACGAAATGGCGCTTTTAGTGACATTTTGCATACAAATCCCCATCTAGTAGGGCGCAGTTACCCAGTTTCGGTGGAAGTGCGCGAGTTCGATTGGGATTCAAGTAGGAAGGGAGCGTCTCAGCTTTCTCGGACCAAGACCATTCGACTCAGCACCCCGAAGACTACAACTGGTGAAATTTTGATTTTTGCCTTTAACCCTTTGTGTACGGACTGTACAACTTTCGATCCCTTGGGATCGAAACTTTTCAAAATTTCAATCGATCGTAACTCAGTCATTTCTGGGTTATATCCGAAAACTAAAATATGTAGGTCGAAGAGAAAACTCCCAGCTGTCCATTGAAATAATCGCTGAAGCGCTCCGATGTGTGGTTCCAGAGTTACGAAGCTCGAAAGTCGAATCGCGGCAAATGTCGCTCAATAGCCGCTCGCGCAGATTTGAATGAGGGATTTCCCCATCATTATGGGCATGCAGTGACGTAGAAACACGTTCAAAAATGGCAAACTGACTCGTGGCAGCTTCTTAATTTTTTTTGAAGTAACAGTTACTTGTTACGAGCAAGGAGAGCGAAATGGCTGATGCAAGACGACTTCTGTCGGAATGTTGGCGTTGCTGCTAAGACGCTGGGCTGTAGCGCTGGCGTTTTGACTTTCGTGGTGGCAAGCGTGGGCTCAATGTGTTCCTATTGCGACGAGCTTTCCAGGAAGCCCAAGATTGAAAAAATCGTCAAAAGGAGACTAAAGTTATGACCCGGATAATTATGGAATTTGAGGTGAGTCGAGATCAAATTCAGTCTGTGTACATTTTTTCAGTACATATAAAAGGGTTAACTTCCCCTTTAAAAAATCGCAAAAACACGGGAAAAAACGCGGCTGCAGAATCGTGATTTTCCCCGGGGACAGAAAAATGTCCAGACCACATGTGTAGTGATCTGAAGTATGATGGATAAGAAGTACATCGGATACTACGTACACTTTCCTGCTGCCCATGGGGGTACGTCTTATCCGAGTTCCATTGAGTGGTTGTGCATGTGCTTGGCTGCCTCCAGTAGGGAGAAAAGTCTAGAGCAAAATCTACTGTCTACTTATAATAGATCCCTTCCCCATCGCGGCCCTTTTCTTATCTTCGACCCGGGTCTACCTGTAAGCACTGACTGTGTTCTTCGTTGAAACCGTACCGCCAATAGACACCTCATTTCCCCCTATAAAACACCCTCTCGAGTTACGCATAACACTTCGAAGTTCGAAGGAAAGCTTTCGCTAGCCAAACTGTGCACAGGTACGGTATGTGTATCGAGACTATCATTTTATCATGACCGGGTGGTCGATTTTGCTGACAACTGCCGCGGTGACATCAAGTTTCTACCGTCGACCAAAGAAGAAGAAGAAGAAGAAGAAGAAGAAGGATGTGAAGTCAACCATGTTTCCAGGTGGAAATAAATATCATCAAGAACGTGCTGCAGCAATGAAAAGAAATCGCATGCAGTCGGAATTTCCTAACAGATACGAGACGACTCGAGGCAAGCACAGCTGGCATGTACGAGTGAGTGGCTATGAGCTGCTGGTAAAATGGCTTGGTAATACTTCGCAATCGCACTAAATTTATGCGACTTCATCTTCAAACAATACAAAAAATACAATCACAATCAAACAAATGTAACATCTTACTGGACTTTGCGGAGACGAAGCGAAAAAATCGTCGAGCAAACGCCGCCAAGCGAACTGGAATGAAGACTGATCTGCTCAATTCCGGAACGGCCAAGACCAACGCGGCCGCCGAACAGCGCCCGAGACGAGTGTGTCACCGTCAACACTACAAAAAATAACTACCATTTGGCTGATGGACAGAGAAACCAGCTCATGCCACTGCGATTATTAGTCCTCAGTAGATCTTTCTAGATCCAAGAGAGCTCTCGTAAGAAAGCGCAAAACGGGTCGACCGCCAAGCGGCTTACTCGATCCATGTGGGCAACAGGGAACTAGCCAGCTCCAGGCTGACTCATTCACGTCTCCAACACAGAATGTAGAAGGTAAATATCCAGGTTCTCTGATGCCTCTACCTTCGAAGCTTCAATTCACTGGTGCCAGTGGTCGGCATCGCACCACCAACACGTCGGAGGCTGCGTTGTGCAAAATACCGATCTGGCACCGCATCCATCTTGTGCATTGCCCAAACACGGCATGCGATATCAGGACGCCATCGTCATTCCAAATAGGGTAACGCGTGACAAACATGAAACAACCAGGGCAACCGGCTTGACTGGATGGAGTTGACTTCCATGCCACGCGCGCCACACCAAGGATTTGGATCCCAGAAGGGAACATCGAATACCAATACTGGATGCAAGCGTGGCATTGCGCGTGGATCCGTGACTCGCGTCCCGTACAAAACGTCGACCTATATGCAATAATATTGCCAACTCCGCGGCTTTCCCGCGCGCCTGACGATTGACGTCATTTTGGGAACACTTTAATATCATGCTCGCTTGTGAGCTCGACAGTACAGTGTGACCTTTGACCTTTAACCCCTAAAAACTAAAGTAACAAGTAAATTTAATTTATAAAAATTAATGTAGAAAGGAAAAGGACCAGGGAGTCGTCAAATACCTTCGGCTTGTACAATTCGTTTTCGCAAAGCTTCCCCTTTCTTTACTTATCTTTGATATTTATGACCCACCCAAGTTGGGTGGTGTGCTGCTTTGCTGCTTCGAATTGTAGTTAGACCGCTTTGTCAAATATCGTACTGGTCTCGTCATCGTCCAGTAACAATCGACATTCTGTGTTCCGTTGGGACTGTAGCTTTTGCTCGTTTTCGTTGCGCTTGCCTTCTCCTCTTTTGTTTTTCCATAACCTTGAACCTTCCAAGTTGGAAGGCTGTCGGTTAGCGCTACGGAGATGTGTTGAAGCTAGGTGTCAGGACGTCGAATGTCTCAGTACTCTTGTCAGTTTTGTGCCTAGTTATTGCACTTTCTGACTGTATATAGTATCCAGTTACAGTGATGGAGAGTTACTCTCAACTCGTATCCATATGTCCTTTTCCTGTCTACGTTTATTTATGGCTCAACATCCGAGTATAAAAATATTAAATTTTGAACAGGGCAGCTCAGTCGCACAGCTACAGGCAAGAGTACATAACCCCCCGGCCCGGGTTATGTACTCTTGCTACAGGCCTAGAAGTACGAGGTGATTTGGCTTTTTTTTACATTTGGCATTTTTAACAAATGTGTAAAATTTGTTTTTCTAAAGAGTCGGCGTGGAGAAAGCAATTTTATTAGTGCAATTAGGAGTATAATCGATGCAGACATGGCCAGACAACAACGACACTATGTTTGACACCTATTATGTAATGCTGTAGCACTTCCTTTGTTGTTCACACTTTTAATTAATTATGCTGTTATAAAATGTTCTATTGTTGTACACAGTACCCTCAGTTCCGATACTATTCACTGATGAGCGGAACACGAAAATCGATTTTGAGTAACATAAAAATCCTTAAAAATTCCATGAACTCGTTGTTGTCTGGCCATGTCTGCATCGATTATACTCCTAATTTGTTTTTCTAATATTATTAATGAATAGGGCAATCCCCACAGGCCTAAGGTACCGTATGTGGTCACTTCTGGCTGCTTCTCTGCTCCGGATGGCTGTATCGAAGCATGGGTGGTGGCAAATGAGAGCCAGTTTATCGTAGATCAACTTTGACCAGAAAATTTGGTGCATATAATTTAATTCTCCCTGCCACGTCGGTATAAATAGTGGGTGTTTTGCCATTTTGTGTAAAATGTGTGAAATAAGCCCCTATATGAACGTGGAGGGCAGTGAATTGCTTCCGCAGGGCCTTTGGACGAGGTCAGGCCGTCTTGCCATCACTAAAGACAATAATGAAGAACAGTAGGTTACAGAATACACTCTGTGAGAACGAAAGCCGAACTCAGAGCCAACCTATGCATTCACTCTTCCCGGATCCCTCACAGACCTCACAGTGGTAAAACAACACAAGCATCTTGGTTTGGTCATTGACTCTGACTTATCGTTTAGTAGACATGTCGACTATATCTGTAGCAAAGTCAGTAAAGCTGTTGGCTACCTCGTGTCTCACTGCTCCCACCTACCGCTTGAATGCATTCGCCTTTTTTATCATTGCTATTTTTCTCCCCATTTTTCTCTATTGCTCAACCGCCTGGTCATCCCTACTAAGTAAATCGTTAATGAGTACCCTGGAAGTCCACAATAAGAGGATACTCAAAGTCCTTTTCCGCAAACCATCATACATGTACTTTCATCCTGCCGAGCTGTATGATAATATGGTTAACACCTTCCCTATCTCTAGTCAAGCGGATCGAAAACTGTGTATTGTTGTTCATTCTATTCGTCTTGACAAAGCCCCGCCACACTTGCGTCAATATAACTGGTTTCTTCCCACTCGTCCTACGCGCAATCCCTGCACTTTACCTAAAGCCCAAACATCAGCTTATACCAGATCTCCGTTTTTCGCTGCCTATTCTCTCTGGCTGGCCCTGCCTCTATCAGTAAAATCGTCTTGTACGCTAAATGATTTCAAGGCCAACATGAAGCTCGTGTTGCTAATTCTCCATCCAGATTTGTTTCTCTTTGCCTCCAGTAATGTGTAATATTTATTGTTTTTGCTTTGTTTTTGTTTACTGCCATGGCTGGCTACCGCCCCCCTCCCTCCATATTGGCCTAAATTCTCTGGCCACGGGAAGGTGAAATAAATAAAAACAATAAAATTTAGTATAAACCCGCACCATGGGTCGACGACGCGACGAGCTACGTAAACTGCTCTACCGCAGAAAACGAGCTCATAGACTCCTGCTGAAACAGCCGGGTGACCAGCAGCGAATCCAGTCTTTCCGAGCGCTTCGCCTACAGTGCAAAATCACCATGCTATGCGCCGTAAGAAAGCCAATTACTTTCAGGCCGAGTTCATTAACACAGACGGAACCCTAGACGTCAGTGGAGCGCTATGAACAGCCTACTTGGCAGAACGAAAGTCAGCCGTGAGCCTGGAGCTAGTATTGCAGACATTACATCTGTATTCTCAGAAATCGCTGGACCTTTGCCGCCAACAGAGACTTCTGACGCGATCGTATCTCTAACCGTGCTGTTCGGATTGTCTTTGGCTACCCGAAGTGCTGCGATGCTTCTCTTGTTCTAGCTAGGAACTATCTCGCTACTATCTCCCTTAGATATCAATTTCGCCTGTTTGTACTGGTGTTTCGAGCCCTCCATAAGTTGTGCTGTCCACTGCTCTCGACTCGCCTGCTTCCTCCCTCGCACTGCCACTTCACAAACCTCAGCCCGTACACGCTCTCAGTCCACTTTGTCACTTATTCTTCCTTTAGTTTCTCGCCGCTATGGTTTATACTCGCTTAGCTCTCTTGGTTCTGATCGTTGGAATGCGCTTCCTGCTGATATTGGCACAATCTCCTTGCTCAGAAACTTCCGTTCATCTATTCAACAATTCATTGCGTAGATCTACCCTGTAAAAAAGGCCCTACCTTTTTTTTGGCCTGTGTGACCGCCCTATTCAAAACAGATTATTACAACTACTGGGATGACGACTACACCATAGCTCAGTGGTTAGAGCATCGCTAGCTACAAGCGAGGGTCCCTGGTTCGAGTCCTGGTGGTGACAGTCAATTTTTTCTTCAGACTTTTCCCGTTTGTCTCTTTCCCTCAAACTAGTGAACAAATAATAATGTTATTATTACACAGGAATGAATCAAACAAGTCTCTTTCCGCTGTAACTCCGAGTTTCGTGTCAAAACACTTCATCAGACAGCATATGACCAAGACTAACAATCACTAGAAATATATACGGAGAAGGGGAGAAGGGGGCAAAGGTGATGGAGGTACATTTCAATAGCGCGAGGAAAAGGGATGACAAAATCAGCGTGATTATAAGAGAAAATGATGTTGAGAGTATAATTATAGAGCATAGCCAGGGTAGAGAAACAGCGCGATTTTCTGGCAACACATCAGTACAGATTTGTGCTGCATTGTTACACATCACATTGTGGCCTAGGGTGGTAAAAAAGGTGATGGGGATTGTGTTGTGGGAATCACTCACGCCAGGCAAGGGGGTGACTACCACACCCGCCAAGGCATCGGAAAACCGGCGACAGAAGCCAAGACCCGCCAAAGCGCGTGAGCCATGAGCCCTGGGGAGTGCTCACCATTCCCGCGCCCCGCGGAACCCAGCCCCGACCGCCACCCCCCCCCCCCCCGGCCCCGACGGGCAAAACAGCCACCCCCAGCCTGGCGTGGCTCATGCATTTTAGGCCTTGGCGGATAATGCCGGCAGAAAAATTGGCAGAATTCGGTACTTTTTCTGGTAAGTTTCATGCATGTTTGGTATGTGGATAAAGAAATGGAGCAGAATTCGAGGAATTGCCCGCCATAATGTTTGTACGGTTCTGCCAATTTCGGTGCAAAAAAAGCAGAATCTGCCACCCTTTCGAGCATTATCCGCCAAGGCCTAAATTGCATTTGTCGTTCATCACGTTACCCTGCTGAGTTGAAACTTGTTGGCATGACGGCATTTGGAGATTAACTCGCTCCTCTTATTCAGGCGGGTGCTCCTGTCGGCGGTGATGATGCGGAATTTCTCCGTCACGCATAAGTTGCACTGTTTGCTGACGTTGCTGTACCCTTTAGCTTGCTCAGCAATCCTCCACTTGATGGTGACCGGTGCGTTCGTCTCTTTTAGCCGCCATACATGCTTGGACAGCTCCGTGTTGTTCCTCCTTGACTGGATGTTCATGTCCGACTTGTGGTTATAGTGTCGTTTCTTAAATGGTGGCTCAGTTGATCCAATGTACACCTTCTGTTCGTTGTCTTCCCCACGTGCGCTTCATAAACGACCTCTTGCGCTTGGCATCGGCCGTCCAGCGGGCACTCCGGTTGCTCGGCAGTTACATGGCTTTCGATGCGCTTCGGCTTGAGTAGCATCTTGTTGTGCCCGTTTATCACTGTGGCTACGTTGGGCATACAACTGTAGCTAACCTTGACGTTATTTTGTTGAATATTTTTTGCAGCTTTGAATTCGCAGGGAAGTGCTTCTGCACCAATCGCAAGAATGTGGCCGCCACATTCGTGCTCACATTCTTGCTGAAAGGCGGGTTGAACCATATCACTTTCCTCCTACGGTTCTTTTTGTTCCTTCCTGTAGCACGTGTCGCCTTCTCCTGGTATTCAATCGTTGAAGCGAATCCACTAGATTTCAGTGCGTTCTGGTATAACGGCGCCGCCTCGTCGAACGTCTGCTGATCGGCTGATACATCTGACACTCTCCGCTCAATCGCCTTAGGGAGGTTTCTCAGTACCATTGGGGGATGGTTCGACCTCGTGCTTAAATACAGTGGTGTGTTGTTCGGCTTCCGGAATGGCTTGTACTTTCCAGTGTCAAGATTCAATGTGACATCTAGGAAGTCCACCACTCTCATGTTCACGTCGATCGTCATTTTCAGGCCATGTTGTTGGAATACAGTACCTATGGTCTTTCTGAGACGATCAGCAGCACTGCCCGACATATCGCGTACGACAGCCAATCCGTCATCACGATAAAGGCCAACTGAGCTCTGGTCTATGTGCTGGCTCAGCTCAGAGAGTAGAAAGGCGCCAACCAGCTCGCACACCTCGGCGCCATCGAAATACCCCATAGTCACATCAAACGCACTGTTAAACAGTTTCCTCTGAGACAAAAATGCGATAATACTCATAAAAAAGAACACACTTCAGGCTCATTACAAACATCTTGAAAGTTTTTGTCTTCACAAGTATACTTTCAAGCCTTCTCATCAGGTGAAATACAGGCAAGGGAAAAGGAGCAGGAACAGTGGATTAAATACAGTAAGAAGGTAGTAAAACAGCGCAAAAAAAAGAAAGAAAGAAGACCTTTGCAAGCAGAAACAAATCAAATTCACACTTAGGCTGTTAGGTAGGTCGTCAAAACCTCGTTAGTTACATGTTTGTCCAGTGGTTGTCTCTTGTTGTCGCACTACATGTCGCGCTTATTGAGTTTTCTCGCATTTGCACCTTTGTGTCATTATTGCAATTTTCGCTGTTTACTTTAGCTATCTTCTTTCTTTCTTTTTTTGCGCTGTTTTACTACCTTCTTACTGTATTTAATCCACTGTTCCTGTTCCTTTTCCCTTGCCTGTATTTGTATGTATGTATGTATGTATATTTTTATTTGAATTCGCAAGTACACACGGGCTACAAGCCCAATTACATGGAAGCGAATGCCATAATGAGGCCAATTAAGAAAAAATAGGTGGAGGAAGGAGGAGGACGGTAGCAAAGCGCAGGGAGGACAACTCAGGACCAAAATCAACAATTGCACAAATGTGAGAGCACCTGAGACCGAGGGTGCCTGTGGAGCGATAAAATGCCAAGCAAACAGAAGAAAGGAAATCACAAGCCAATACACGCTAAACTGCACTTGAGTTAGAATGAAGGGGAAAACCGGAGCTCAACAAAATTATAACGTACAAAGTCATAATAAGAAGTCAACTGGATGAGAAGTAGCCCAAGCAAACATTTCCTGACAACGAGAGGGGCTGTAACTACAGACACAGCAGTAGCTGCTGTAGCAGCAGCAGCAGCAGCAGCGGCAGCAGCAGCAGCAACAGCAGCAACAACAACAACAACAACAACAACAACAACAACAACAACAACAACAACAACAACAACAACAACAACAACAACAACAACAACAACAACAACAACAACAACAACAACAACAACAACAACAACAACAACAACAACAACAACAACAACAACAACAACAACAACAACAACAACAACAACAACAACAACAACAACAACAACAACAACAACAACAACAACAACAACAACAACAACAACAACAACAACAACAACAACAACAACAACAACAACAACAACAACAACAACAACAACAACAACAACAACAACAACAACAACAACAACAACAACAACAACAACAACAACAACAACAACAACAACAACAACAACAACAACAACAACAACAACAACAACAACAACAACAACAACAACAACAACAACAACGACACAACAACAACAACAACAGCAACAGCAGCAGCAGCGCCGTGCAGACTACTCCAAGGGGAGTATGGGACTGTGAACACAGAAGGCGGGAGAATTCACGAAGTTTGCAGATCTAGCCCGCCAGCGTGAAGGGCAGTGCAGCTACGGCGAATTCACTGGGACGATTGAGTAGGCGAACTTCGCTGGGGAGGGTGTTCCAGAGGATGGCACCACAGTGCGATGGACGGGATGTCCCTGCTGCTGACCGGGCTAGCGGCAGGCGCAAACCCTGTCCTTGCTGGAGGCGGGTGGTGTTTCCATGAGCACTTCGAAACTTGTCCTGGAGGGCTGGGCTGGCTCGATTGTGCTGGCAACGCCACACAAACCTCAGCATCTTCTGCTTGTGCAGCTCCTGAATGCTGTAGAGCTGCAAGCTGGTCAGGAGGGGTTGAGCATGAGAGCGGGGTGGCTGGCCAAACACTGCCCTGGCAGCTCGGTTGCGAGAGACTTGCTCCTGTCGCAGGCAGGCGAAAAATGCTGTCGACCCGTACAGCAGATCAGGCATGATGATGGACTTCATGAACTGTGTACGGGCCTTCAGACTTAATGCTCGCCTAGATCGCCAGAGCGCCCCGATCTTCTGGGATACTTTCTTGGCGATGCTGTCCACGTGTTTCTGCCAGTTGAGGGAGCTGTCCAGCAGAACTCCGAGGTACTTCGCAGTGCTTGCTGCTGGCAAACTAGTCCCATTGCAATTTACAGGAATGGCTTCACTGTGCATGCTCAGAACTTGGCTCTTCGTGGAGTTCAGGATGAGGTTGCGATCCTCTAGCCAGTCAGCCACTGCAGATACTGCCCGGGTAAGCGCCGCGGAGCATTCAGTAGGCAGCCGGTGGCTGAAGTACAAGCCAATATCATCCGCAAACTGTACTGTGGGCACGTCACCAGCAACCTCTGGTATGCCGCGCGTGTAGACACTGAACAAGATTGGTCCTAAAACGGATCCCTGTGGAACACCGCATGTGCATGCATTACAGGGTCCGTCCTGGGTTCCAATGCGCACTTGCTGGGTTCGATGGCTGAGATAGTTGGCAAACCAACAAGGTAGCAGTACTGGAAAACGGGTGTCAGATTTAGCCAAAATATCAATTTCACGGGAACTGCTTCAACTGTGATTTTTCTGAAAGAAGGAATACCAAAGGGTCTACAAATGGATTTTTTTGGCATTCGAACCAGCCAAAGCAGAGATATGGCCCTTCAAAAACTGAAAATACCCGTCAAAATTTCAAAATTGCACTGATCAGCTGATCGATGTCAATCTATTTCGAGAGGGTTTCTGTACAATATCAGCGCATCCTTGCCAATCTCGGCCTGATTCACTCTATCTGTCCAGCTAAAACCAGTTTAGAGCTGGGCTGAGTGTCGCGATCGCCACATGCAGCGCCTGCCTGGCCCAAGCTAGCTGGCCTGGCTGGCCTGCACTCAACCCACGCAATTGTATTTTCAAAAATGATAAAAAAATTCTTTGTTCTCAAACTGTTTGCCAATGCGACGAGCGTTTGTCAGCGACGTTGGAGCTCTGCGCTTGAGTTGTTGTGCTGGCGCTACTTGGTCAGGAGACGGGTGATGAACACAAACGAAGGTCGCTCAGCAGGCCAAGGAAAAGCAAATTTCCTAGAGTTACGTCCAAGCTCGTCTCAAATCCTGAAGTATTTGAGCCAATTGAGGGGAGTGAAAGCGAACACGAGTCGCAGGCTGATGGAGCTGGTGAGGGCGTAGAAGATGACTCTGATCTTCCAGCTGATTTTTTATCCAGTGATGCCTCGTGTGATAACGATGGAGATTGGTCTGAAGAGGATTGCGATGATATTCCATCAGGAATTCGAATTGTTCACATGGAGAGCTTACAGCAATTGGTGACGTCAGCGTGTGTATGTAGTAATTATCAAGAGGGCAACCTGACTATCAAAGATAATTTTCGTCATGGCCTCGCCTCAACAATTAGTTTGCAGTGCGAATCGTGCTGCTCATCAACCAGTGTAGCCCTGGCAGAAAGACACCCACTTGCTAAATTGTACGATATAAACCGCCGCCGCAGTGTGCTTGCCATGCGCCTTATTGGTGGTGGACGAGAAGGTCTGAACAGTATCTGTGGGATATTGGATATGCCGCCTCCTGTTAGCAATTCTGGGCACAGCGATGCACTACACACTGCTGTGGAAACTGATGCTAGGGACAGCATGAAGAGTGCTGCACAGCGTCTTCTTGTTCGGCGAACAACAGAACAGCATTCCCACCCGGAGCATGTTGCAGTTAGCACCGATGGAACGTGGATGAAGCGCGGATTCTCATCAATGTTTGGTATGCCAACTGTTGTGTCCTATGAGACAGAAAAGGTTCTGGACGCGGAGGTGCTATCAAAACACTGCAGTGGATGTGAAACTTGGAAGAACAGATGGCAAGCAAGAAAGATTTCTAATGCTGAGTACGAACAATGGAAATGTTTTCGGCTGTGCTGGAAATGATGAGCTGCTCTAAGTTTCACTTGCCAGCTCTGGTCTTCTCAAGTTGGATGAAGAGAAGCAGTATCACAGGAGAAGGTCCAGTGAGGAGCAAAAGTCAGCCAGGAAGAGAAGAAGAGCCATTCGAAAGGGATTTGCTGACACGATACAGCAAGCAGAGGTAGTCACATACATTGCTGGAGGGTTTTCAGAGTGCCAAAAGTTAGTGTTTTTTGGCCTTCCGACCAAACTTTGGTACACTATATCTCCAGACTGGCTCATCACAGCCCAATAAACCTTATATGTAGATTGATCAGTGGAAAATTTCCCAGATGCTGAATATATTTATAAAGCCATAGTTTTTTGTTTGGCGGATGTTAGCTGCCTCAGTAGTAATAATCTTTTTCGACGGTGACGGGCGTCTTCACAGATGATGTTGACTGGGTGGTGCTATTTGTGTCCTATCTCCAATCTGTTCTATTCAGCATCTGCTACTATTGTAGACTGTCGTATATGATGCATTTTTAACACTTCAGCTGATATTATGTTGCTGCTAGCATGTACCAAAAATCTGAGATGACGGCATTTTTTTACTCTCCAGTGCAGTGAACTTTTGGGACGATGCGAAGTAAATAAGTTCAAGGTAGTACTTTTATTAGGTGGTGGCGTGAATCATGAATCTGTGCTCAAAGTTTTGTGGGAAAAGATTCACAGACACCGAAGTAATACCCGATTTTAGTTGTGTGTATTTGCGAATGGCATATTCCAGTACTGCTACCTTGATGCCGTTCCAGAAACGCCAATGTCGAACAAGTCCTGCAGCAGCGTAGGGTGACTGACTTTGTCAAACGCCTTTGACATGTCAAGTAGGCAGATGCAGCAAGGCAATGCAGAGTCCTTTGCAGTGAGAACACCATCCGTTAGTAGCACAAGTGCATCTTCAGTGGAGTGATCCTTCCTGAAGGCAAATTGGGTCGGTGGTAGAACATTGTGTTCATCGAGGAATGCCACAAGCTGCCGCTGCACGAGCTTCTCTAGCAGCTTTGAGGCAATCGGCAGCAGGGATACTGGACGATAGTTCCCGGGGGATGTTGGGTCTCCAGACTTGTACAGAGGCCGGACCAGGGCCTTCTTGAAGGCAGAAGGTACAATGCCCGTTTCAAGAGACTCATTGAGGATCCGTGTGAGGGATGGCGTGAGGATATCACTGCAGGATTTGAGAAGCAGCCCAGGTATTCCATCACTGCCAGTTGCCTTCACCGGAATTATCGCTTGCAGAAGCTTATTCACAGCAGCATAAGATGCTGTTCCCAGACAGCTGAGTGAGTGTTCAGCTGGGGGTCCATTCGGTAATGGCAAGTGGGCTGGCCGATCAGGGTCAGTTACAATGTTGCTAAATGCCACGCTGACCTTGTTCACGTCACATGCAGGGTCTTGCTTGCTTCCTCCTCTGCCAGTGATGGAGTTTAACAGGGACCACATCTTCCTTGGATTGCGATTGTTGACAACACATTCATCACTGAAGTACTGGTTTTTCCTCCGTCTGACAAGATTTCCTGCCGCCGTTCGAGCACGTTTGTACTGGTGGAATAATGCTATGTTAGCCCGGTCTCGCAGCCATCTTCGGTGCAGCCTGTTCTTTGCCATCGTTAGCTGGTAAGTGTCTCTGTTAAAGGGGAAGTTAAGGCAAAAATTAAAAATTTCACCAGTTGTAGTCTTCGGGTTGCTGAGTCGAATGGTCGTGGTCCGAGGAAGCTGAGACGCTCCCTTCCTACTGGAATCCCAATCGAACTCGCGCACTTCCACCGAAACTGGGTGACTGCGCCCTACTAGATGGGGATTTGTATGCAAAATGTCACTAAAAGCGCCATTTCGTTCTTATAAAAGCATGGATGACCGCGATTGGCCCATATGTTGTAGTCTTTTGGACGCTGACTCGACTGGTTTTGGTCCGAAAAGGCTGCGATGCGGCGTTCCTCCTTTATTCCCAATGGAACATGGTTGAAGAAGCGGTCACGTGCTCCTGCGTACACCAGTCACCTGGTCACCGTGCCTGCAGGGTACAACTTACTAGCCTGTTTTGACCTTTTTTGGGTGCAGTCCTGTCACTCGAGTTGAACTCGAGTTGAACCTTGGTGTGAAAGTTGTCACCTGCTGGCGTGGTGACCAGGTGATTTGAGCACCCAGCACCACGTGACCGCTTCTTCAACCATGTTCGATTGGGAATAAAGGAGGAACGCTGCATCGCAGCCTTTTCGGACCAAAACCAGTCGACTCAGCGTCCAAAAGACTACAACATATGGGCCAATCGCGGTCATCCGTGTTTTTATAAGAACGAAATGGCGCTTTTAGTGACATTTTGCATACAAATCCCCATCTAGTAGGGCGCAGTCACCCAGTTTCGGTGGAAGTGCGCGAGTTCGATTGGGATTCAAGTAGGAAGGGAGCGTCTCAGCTTCCTCGGACCAAGACCATTCGACTCAGCACCCCGAAGACTACAACTGGTGAAATTTTAATTTTTGCCTTAACTTCCCCTTTAAGCCATGGCCTTCTTCTGGAACGCTTCTTAACTGGGGTCATTGGGGCATGATGGTCCAGTACACACATTATGCTAGCGTGCCAAGTGGACCACATATCGTCGACGCTCGCATGTGGAGGAAAAATGTGAAGGTCTGCTGCAAGCAGGTCAGCGCGGAGAGCTGCTATATCCACTCTGTGCAGCTGCCTAGTGAGGAGCGAACTCGCTGGCTGGCTTACTTCAGTAGCACAGCTGAGTGAAGCACTCACAGCAAAGTGATCGCTGATGTCACATGGTACGATGTTCCAGGATGTTAAGCTGGCATGGTTGACCAAGACTAGATCTAGTATGGTTCCACGCACACATTGGGGCAGAACACGAGTTGGTGCTGTCACGACGTTCTGCAGTCCATAGCTTCCACACGTGTCATGCATGTGGCGCAATTGTGGGCCAGGAGAAACTGGGTCAGCATTTACATTGAAGTCGCCCATCATAGTGACCGATCCGGTGTTGTTGGTGGCTGCCTGTAAGACAGTCTCTAGTCTGGGCCAGAACGCAACTGTTTCACTTGGCGGCCGGTACACACACCCTAAGAGATGAGGCACCCGGGCACCTTTAAGCTCGATCCAGGTGCACTCTACATCATCCGCCGTCAAATCCGGGCGAGGCTTCACGGGGAGGGTCGACCTGAAGTAGATACATGTTCCACCTCCTCTTCCACCGGCACGGTCCTGACGGGCAATACTGAAGTTTGGGATCCGG